TCATCTCCTCAGCCCTGGCTAGAGTGTCTCTTGCTCTCCAGGTGGCCAAGACCAAGCAGCAGATCGAGGAGCAGCGGGTGCAGGTGCAGGTGGTGGAGCGGGCCCAGCAGGTGGCAGTGCAGGAGCAGGAGATCGCCAGGCGTGAGAAGGAGCTGGAGGCCCGCGTGCGCAAGCCGGCCGAGGCTGAGCGCTACAGATTGGAGCGCCTGGCAGAGGCAGAGAAGTAACGCCCCAGCCCCGCGCCCCTCCTGGCCCCCTTGACACTCATAGGCAGGCAAGGTGCCTGCAGGGCAGCGAACCCACTTCCCTTCTGTTCTCTGTTCTCAGGGCCCAGCTGATCATGCAGGCAGAGGCCGAAGCTGAGTCTGTGAGGGTGAGTTGGGGCGTGCCTCCTGCTTGGCTCCGGGAAGGGCTTGGGGGTTTTGTGGCTGTTTAAACAGCAGGCTGGGTTCAAACTCACAGAGATCCTCCCTTCTCTGTCTCCCTATTCTTGGATTAAAGGCATGTACAACTGACCCCAGCTGTTTTTTTTTTTTTTTGTTTGTTTGTTTTGTTTGTTGTTGTTGCTTTGTTTTGTTTTTGTTTTAACGTGGGGGACACGATGGTGCATGTGCTGTCTTGCCAGTGTGGAGATCAGATCTCTTCTAACTCACATGTGAGACCTGGGAATTTTGACTTAGGTTGTTGGCCTTGCCAGCAAGCACTTGACCATCTCAGCATTGGCCTTATTCGTTTTGGTTTATTATTGGGGGGGGGGGTTGTTTTGTTTTTTAGAGACAGGATTTCTCTGTCGCTTTGGAACCTGTCCTGGAACTAGCTCTGTAGACCAGGCTGGCCCCGAACTCACAGAGATCCTCCTGCCTCTCTGCTTCCCTAGTGCTGGGACTAAAGGCATGCACCACCACTGCCTGGTGATTTCCGTATTCTTAGTGAGTGCTGTCAAATGCCCTGTAACCTCTACAGATGCGTGGGGAAGCCGAGGCCTTCGCCATAGGGGCCCGAGCTCGTGCTGAAGCTGAGCAAATGGCTAAGAAGGCAGAAGCCTTCCAGATGTATCAGGAGGCCGCCCAGCTGGACATGCTGCTAGAGAAACTGCCCCAGGTCTGGGCGTGGGTGGCACTCCGGGAGAGGGGCGAGGTGAAGTAGGTGATTAGGGGGACCATAAATTAGGAGGGCCAACTATAAGCTGGTGACCAGCTTCAGAAGTTTATAAGAGATGGTCAGACCTATCTCTACCTACCAGGTGGCAGAAGAGATCAGTGGTCCCCTGACCTCAGCCAATAAGATCACACTGGTGTCCAGTGGAAGTGGAACCATGGGGGCAGCCAAAGTGACCGGGGAAGTACTAGACATCCTAAGCCGCCTGCCGGAGAGTGTGGAGAGACTCACAGGTGTCAGCATCTCCCAGGTGAGGGTGAATGCTCTGTGTGTGTGTGTGTGTATATATACGTGTACGTGTACATATACATGTACACCTGTGTCATGTGAGACAGTACAATAAGTGTTTTTATAGGTGTCCAGGAGCCCAGGAAGTCAGTTTTACTAGTAGTTTTCCTGCCGGTCGGTCCCACAGCCACGCCACCCCAAATAACACACAGAGACTCTGTATTAGATATAATGCTGTTGGCCAGGTACTAGATTCTTATTGGCTAGCTCTGTCTTATTAACCCATTTCTATTAATCTAAGTATTTCCACGTGGTCTCATCTTACTGGAGAGTGGGCCTGGACTTCTGTTCTCCCCAGTCTCTACATGCTGACTCTTCCTTCCTATTTCCTCGAATCCTCCTTGTCTCCTAGTCCCGCCTATCTTGCTTTCCTATTGGCCAACAGTGCTTTATTCATTAATCAGAATGAGAAGCATATTTACAGAATGACATCTCCCATTAGACAGTGCTTTGCTGGCACCCAAGTCAACCTGCTGAGGACCCAAGTTCAATTCCCAGAACCCATGTCAGGTTCTTGCTTGGCACATTTTAGGCCACTGAGACCCTAAAAACAAAATGGTGAACAGTGCTTGAGGAACAACCACCAAAGTGTCTTTTGCCTTTCACACACAAATGCACATACAAAAGAACTACCTCTAGGCCCAGTGGTGGTGGTGTTGCAAGGTTTAACTCAGCACTCAGGAGGCAGAGGTAGGCAGATGTACAGAGTAAGTTCCAGGAGAGCCAAGGCAACACATAGAAACCCTGTCTGGTAAACCCAAACAAACAAACAAACAAAAAACCCAAACAAACAAGCAAGAACTACCTCCAATATGTTAAAAGTAGCCCCTGTGGCTGGGAAGCAGAGCTTTAGCCAGGCTAGTCTTTGTAGCCTGTGTGCCTGGGCAGCACAGGAGAGCAAAGAATTAGCTGCCACCTAGTGATACTTGGTGTCATGACATATCATTTCTTTCCTTGAGGTTATGGCAGAGGTCAGAATAATGTAAATCACTGCCCCCTTGCTGGGGTGTTGGAGAGATTGCTTACAGAGTGCTTAGGGCAGTGCCATGTGTGCCTCAAAAATGTGTAGCTGGGTGTAGTGGTATAAACCTTTAATCTCAGCACATGGCACAGAACCAGACTGATCTGCGAGTCTGAGGCCATCTGGGGCCACATAGTGAGACCCTGTTTTGGGGGAGGGGGTTCTTGTATTTTAAAGCTGACAGGATTTCTCTGTGTAGCCCTGGCTGTTCTGGAACTCACTCTGTAGGCCAGGCTGGCCTTGAACTCATAGAGATCTTCCTTCCTCTGCCTCCCGAGTGCATAGATTAAAGCATGCACCACACTGCCTGGCAAGACCCTGTCTTTTAAAAAAAAAAAAAAAAAAAAAAAAAAAAAAAAAAACTGTGTATAAAAGCGATCTTCATCAAGCCTGGTTGTTGGGCCCTCCTTGAAGCCCAAGCTAGGTTTTATGCCAAAGAGAATATGCAAGCAAAGCTCTGGTCCCTCTGACCTCTTCAGTTGACAGATCCCCATGACTAGCTGATACCTTGATTTGCTTTATAGACAGGATTGTCCTTGAACACAAGAGATCCACCTGCCTGTGCCTCCTGAGTTACGTGCCACCTCACCCACCTGAACCCATCCTTCCAAGTGGTTGCTGTTGAGTGCGTGTGCGTACTGCCCATGTGCTTTTCTTTCTCGATCTAGGTGAACCACAACAAGCCTTTGAGGACAGCGTGAGCCCTCAGCGGTACCTGGACCTGTGGCTCAAGTGGTCTCACTGCATGCACTTCTGGCCTCCCTGAGCATGGCCCCTGGCAGAGGGGCTGCACTGCCAAATATTCTGTGCCTTGCCTTGGAGGAGTTTGCTCCCTTCTCTGCTCATTGCCAGTGCCCTACACCAGATTTTGATGATTCCACTTAAAGCCCATCCCAACTATTTAACTTCTTGATTAAATTAGACTGTGAACCTGTTATCTAGACTCCTTTCTATACCCAGACCAAAAGGTGGTCAAATGAACCAAGAGATTAATAAGGTTGTGACAAGATGGAAGCAGGGGCCCAAGAATCACTCGTGCCAGGCCAGCCTGGACAACACAGCTGGAACCCACTAGAAGTGGGCTGTAGGGAACGCTTGGCATCAGAATCTTCCACTCAAGTCGGTACTGTTTTGAGTACCACATCAGATAACGCCTGTGTTGTAGCATTCACATCTAACCCTCAAACATCCTACTTTATACATGAAATACATCATAGTACCTAATGCAACTACACATGTGTGGTAGCTCCAGCCTGTAGTGTTAACAGAATCAAAGAGATCAACTCAAAAGCCAGCCTTTCTGGTTAGAGGTAAAAGAAACACTTGTGGAGGCAGAGGCAGTCCCTGGAATTCAAGGCCAGCCTGGTTTACACACAATGATCTCCAGAACAGCCAAGGCTAGAGAAACCCTTGAGGGTGTGGTCACCATTAATAGCTACAGGCTGGGAGGTTGCAAATGTGGCCTGGGGGACAATTCTCATGTATGAATATGACCCAAGCTTAGTGTTCCACAACCTTGCACTGATTGCTGGCATTAAGTTATATTTAAGCATGTTTTACTAATTGTCCTCTTCTACCTGGAGAGCTAAGTGGAACCCATCACCAATAAAGAAAAACCTGCTGGCAAAACACATGGGTCTCCACGATGGGAAAGGCAGCGGCAGTATTGATCCAATAGGGGCACAGCTCAGTGGAAGAGCATTTGCCTAGCACAGTGGAATAATGTGCAATCCTAACACCAAAGTCAAAATGAAAATACAGCCAGATATTTGCTTACCCAGAATTTTAGGATGAGCTTGGGTATAAACTGGGCCCCCTGCCTCCACCAGCAATGTTGCCTGCCTAGAATAAGCACATCTCACACCTTTTTTCCAATTCCCATTTATTTTTGTCTCTTGGGGCAATGTCATCTTTTCAATATGAAAAAAGGCAGCCAAGTTCAACACAAAATAGAAGGGTAGGACCAAACCAAGAAAATAGAAGCAAAGCCATCATCCTCCCTCTGGGAAAGGCCCCAGACACCCAGGTGGCAGCACACCTTCCCAAATTTGGGGTTTAATTAAGTAGATGGGGCATTTTCTGGACAGTGACCAAGGCCCTGCCCCCCCACCTCTTGGAGAAAGGAACAGGGAAGACAGTTCCAATGGCAGATTTGGCTCAGGACAGCTGGGAGGCTATAAATGGGAGATAATACTGTTAATACCTCTCTCCTGAGGCTGAGAGATGAAGCAGGGGGGGAAAAAAAACACCTGTCGATAAAAGCCTCAGTGGATCCCCTTGACTGGAAAACCCCACCCCTCTTCCTAGTGACCTTTCTCTAATCCACTTAGCTTTAGGGTGGTGGACCACTATCTGGGTTTTTAGTAATGGGTTGGTTCTACAGGTGATCTGGAGCAGAAGTCAGGTTCCTGGAGAATACACTGGAAAAAATATTAACTGACAGTTATGAGAAATGGATACCAGAAGGAAATACAGGGCAACACTCAGAATGGCAGAAATCTAGGTTTGTCAGAGTGGAAAGAGAAAGGAGACATTCCACAAACAAATATTTATTGAGCGCCTTCTGTGTGCCAGGCACTGTTCAACCCCCCTCAATGAAAAAAAGATAAAAAAAAGCAAAAACAAACAAAAACAGGACAGAGGCAACAGAAAGAAACTCTGAAGGAGAAAAATGGGCAGCTGAAAGCTGAGGGAACTAAGCAGCCTGAGGTGATGCAGGGCTCGCTGCCTTAGGCCTCTTCTTCTGCCTCCTCCCCGAAATCCTCCTCTTCTTCCGCTGTGGCATCCTGGTACTGCTGATACTCGGAGACGAGGTCATTCATGTTGCTCTCGGCTTCAGTGAACTCCATCTCGTCCATGCCCTCACCTGTGTACCAGTGGAGGAAGGCCTTCCGGCGGAACATGGCCGTGAACTGCTCTGAGATACGCTTGAAGAGCTCCTGGATGGCTGTGCTGTTTCCAATGAAGGTGACGGCCATCTTGAGGCCACGTGGTGGGATGTCACAGACGGCTGTCTTGACGTTGTTGGGGATCCATTCCACAAAGTAGCTGCTGTTCTTGTTCTGCACATTCAGCATCTGCTCATCCACCTCCTTCATGGACATCCGCCCACGGAAGACAGCTGCCACAGTGAGGTATCGGCCATGGCGGGGGTCACAGGCAGCCATCATATTCTTGGCATCAAAGACCTGCTGGGTAAGTTCAGGCACAGTGAGGGCCCGATACTGCTGGCTTCCACGGCTGGTGAGTGGGGCGAAGCCAGGCATGAAGAAGTGGAGCCGTGGGAAGGGCACCATGTTGACAGCCAACTTTCGGAGATCAGCATTGAGCTGGCCTGGGAAGCGGAGGCAGGTGGTGACACCGCTCATGGTGGCAGAGACAAGGTGGTTTAGGTCTCCATAGGTGGGCGTGGTGAGCTTGAGGGTACGAAAGCAGATGTCATAGAGGGCCTCGTTGTCAATGCAGTAGGTCTCATCTGTGTTCTCGACCAACTGATGGACAGACAGGGTGGCATTGTAGGGCTCAACCACGGTGTCAGACACTTTGGGTGAAGGTACCACACTGAAGGTATTCATGATTCGGTCAGGATATTCTTCTCGGATTTTGCTGATGAGCAGGGTGCCCATACCAGAACCGGTACCTCCGCCCAGTGAGTGGGTCAGCTGAAAGCCTTGCAGGCAGTCACAGCTCTCTGCTTCCTTCCGCACCACATCCAGGACAGAGTCAACCAGCTCTGCACCCTCTGTGTAGTGACCCTTGGCCCAGTTGTTGCCTGCCCCAGACTGACCTAGAATATGGTCAGGGGAAAAGAAAATCAAGATATTGGAGACATTACTAATCTTCACCTTTGGAATAGTCCCCTTGGGTACATGGGAATTCATTCCATGTAACTCACCAAAAACAAAGTTGTCTGGTCTGAAGATCTGGCCAAAGGGACCTGATCGAACGGAGTCCATGGTTCCGGGTTCTAGATCCACCAAGATAGCTCGAGGGACATACTTGCCACCTACAGGGAATCAAAAGAACTGTCAGCGCCCTCTGCAGTGAAGATGGAACTTGGGGTGGGAAATACCACAAACCACTAAACTTGTCATTCCAGGCACTGCCACCTGGCGGCAGTAGAGCTAATCTTTGGCGCTTTGTGGTGGCTGTCTAAAGGAAAAGGGTGAGACTCAAGCAAAGGGGTTAACAGGTACTTAATGTGGGAACAGGTCATGATGCGGCTGCCTTTAAATCCAGCACTTGGGAGCTAAATTCCAGGGTAGTCATGGCTGCATAACAAGATCTTGTCTCAATAGAAGGGCAGGGTTTAAAAAGACCAGGGGGAAATGTTAACAGGGAAAAAGAATCTGGATCCCTTCCCTCACCTGTGGCTTCATTGTAGTACACAGAAATTCGGTCCAGCTGCAGGTCGCTGTCTCCATGGTAGGTACCGGTGGGGTCGATGCCATGTTCATCGCTAATCACCTCCCAAAACTACACAAGGAAGAGCAATGAGTTCTCAATGGCTGAAATCCTAAGGCATTTCTAGACGAGGCTGACGGGTTGATAACTGCAATGCCATTATCTGCCTGCTGAGCCTCCACGACCGAACCTCCAACGCGGGAAGGTCACCACCTTTGTGGCTAAGGTAAGTGGCGGACAGTTCAAAAGGCTGAGGGTTGCAAGCATCCATATGGGCGGACTGGACTGCCAGCCGCCCTCTTGGCTCAGCATCCGGCCAAGCGCTTCAGGGTGGGCACCGCCCCTCCAGGCCAGCACAAAAGAGGGTTAGGGTAGAAAGGTGCGGCCACTGCAGTCGCCCACCCCTTTGCGCGCTCCACGTGACTGCGGTGGCGGGCCGCTCTTCCAGCGGCACCACAAAGGCGGGAGCTCGGGGGCGGGGCCTGGATCGAGGGGCGGGGCCAGTGCGCCCCTGCAGGCTAGGGCTGCATTGTCCCTGAGCGCTAGGGGCGCTAGCCCCGCCCCCGAAGGGTCTCACCCTTCGGCTACAATTTAGCGGCCGCACTTCCTCCTCTCCACACCCATTCCCCCCCCCCGGCTACATTGTAATTAGGCGCAAAAAAAAAAAAAAAAACCCACGACCTCACTTTTTTCTTTGCTAGCTCCTCTCCCCTAAATAGTTCCTACAAACACATTGTCCTGAGGGACCTCTTATAGACACACAAATGTCTCACTTTCCCATTAGGTAGGTCACACCCTAAGATTTCTTAAAGGTAATGGAGTAAAAATCCCTAGCACAGAATCATCATCTACCTAAAGGCTAAAACAAGCCTGGGGATGGCGAGAGCGCGAGGGTCTCCAAGCCTTTGTTGAGAGGTAATGCGCACCGGAGCAGTCTTAAGAGACCTCTGCAGCTGCCCGCCCAATCTCTTCCCTTCCCCCGCCAGTCCTGCTCCACCAAGGCCCTCCAGGCGGGGTGGGGGTGGCGCAAGGGGAAAACCTAGCTTCGGCTTTGTCTCGGATCGTTTCCGCATTATCTCCTCTCCCATTCTCGAACCGTTAGAAAACCCCTGTTTTAAATAAGCACTTTACAGTCCCTCAGACTCTCCGTCCCCCAAACCCAAAAGTCTCTTTTAATGGCTTTTCGAAAATGTGCTAAGAAAAATATTTCTCCGTCTCTCAATATCAGAAACCTAGCTACAAATATAGGTTATATTTATACGTGCAAAACTTTGAGGGGCCAAAGCCGGAGGATGGAGAATGCAAACACCCGATGGTAGCATTATTCATGATTAACCTGGATTTTTCATCCTCACATATTTCCGGTAAATTTTTAAAATTCTTACCTTAGCACCGATCTGGTTGCCACATTGTCCGGCCTGGATGTGCACGATTTCCCTCATGGCTAAGGTTTACTGTAATAAATTTGTGCTGGTTTCAAGGTAGGTACCGAGCAAGATAAAGTAATTTTTTTTTTTTTCTTGGCTGGTTTCAGGCTGGAGGGATGGAAACTGGCCCCAGAGGCTGCAGCAGCGAGATGCGAGCACGACCGCAGGAAGGTTCTAAGAGGCAGAAGAGGCCGGCGAACGCAGGAGGGAAGGCGCGCAGGGCGGGGCGCGCGTTCGCGCGGCTGGGGGCGGGAGATAGGCGGGAACCCTGGTCGCAGACAAAGCCTCTCCAGCTTGCGGCTGATTAGACCAGCGGATCACGTGCCAGGCGACCATTGGTCTGTGAGCCAGTGGCGAGCGCAGCCCTTTTTGGGAGTTGTAGTTCTCTATTGTCCACGCTGCAAAATGAAGTTAGGCATGGGTGGATACTGTAGGAGGTTTAGTGGGCACATTTCATGTGGGTGTGATTGTATTTATTTTTTCTGGAAACTGACCTCGCACGAGATTCCTATCCTCTGTTCCTGAGAGTGGTTTTTGTGCTAAGAAGTTTTGGGAAATGTAGAAATTGGGAGGTCTGAAATGCCCTGATTTGGGAGGTGGGGTAGCCACTCCCTGCAAGCTGCCCACTGCAGTATCTCTGGTAAAGGCAGACTGCATAGCTCAGCGGAAAGTACCGTGAAATATGGCATCCTGCCCTGGTACATACTATCTAGTTCTTTGTGGTCCCAAGACAGGAACTTCAGTAAGCACACTCCCTCGCATCCCTCCAGAAGATAGGATTACCCTCCCTTTTCTAAGGGAGTTGTCCCAAGGATGTTTCAAAAGAGAAACAAAATTGCAAGGACTTTCCAGACAAGAAATGTTGCTTGGGACGGATGTTCTGAAAGAGAGAGGCTGTAAATCTGCGGCGTAGGGTGAGGTTGGGTTGGGCCTTTAGGACGATGCTGAAGACATCGTGGTCGTCCTGTTAATATAGACGATAAAATGGGATGCCTCTCAAACACTTGGGTGAAGACAAGTGGTCGTTTTTCAGTTGGTTGGTTCTATTGCTTAGGTGAGGGCACTGAAAGAGGGGAGTCAGAGCCCATAAGCTTTTCCCCAGGGTTTCATTTGATAGAAACTAAGTACCCTAAAAAAGTGTAGATGGATACAAAATGATTACTTGGAGTCAGCAGAGGTGGTTCACATGGTTAACACCAGCATTGTAACTCAAAGGCTGGAGGATCTCCGGAAGTACAAGGTCAACCTGGGCTACTTAAGAGAGTTCCTGTGCAGGCTGAGGTACAGCTTTAGACCCAGTCTCAAAACAAACAAACAAACAAATAAATAAATAAAATGTCCTCCTAAACAGTAGGATGGTTGAGGCAGAAGGATTTTTTTTTCTTTTTCTTTTGGTTTTGTGAGAGACAGGGTTTTTTCTGTAGTTCTGGAGTCTGTCCTGGAACTTGTTATTGTAGACCAGGCTGGCCTCGAACTTGGAGATCCACCTGCCTCTGCCTCCCAAGTGCTGAGATTAAACGCATGTGCCACCACCATCCAGCCAGAAAAGATTCTTGTAAACTGGAGGGTAATCTGGTCTACAAAGTGAGAGCCTGTTTTGAAAACAAAATATACATGTGGCTGGAGAGAAAACTCAGCAATTAAGAGTATTTGTTCTCAAAAAAGACCCAAGTTCAATTCCCATCACCCACATAGAGGCTTTCAACTATCCATAAGTCCAGTTCCAGGGAACCCAACACCCCCTTCTGTCTTTTGCAGGCACATGGCACACAAATAGTACAGAGACAGACGTCCAGACAAAATGCTAACACATATATCTATAAATACATCCTTAAGAAAGAGAAAACAAAGGAAGGGGTGTGGTAAGCAGTATCGGTAATGTAGGACAGGTGTGGAGGCCCAGAGAGGCAGGAGTATCAATGAGTTCAGCGCTAACCTGATCTAGGCCAGCCAGAGATACATAATGTAACCTTTAACTCTGTCAGAAAGAAAATGTATCAGACATTGTTAACATTCAGTCAATATGCAGCTCAAGATATCTTTTAAACGAAGGAACATTAAATAGCATTAGTACCCCTTTATTCATTAAAAATACAATGTTAATGTCCCTTTAGTAGTAGGAACAAGGGGAAGAAATCCAACTTAAAGCTTCAAATGTCTGCCGATTTATTGTGAACATAGAGATAACCAATAGAAAAGAACTTAATCTATCCAAACCAGTTTCCTGCTATGCTTTCATGTTTTATTATAATAGAAAGTTACTTTACATCATTCCCGTCTTTTGAAAGATGACAGATTTTCAGGTTTTAGCAAAAGTTTGCCTACCCACGTTTGTTTTATTTAGGATCTTCTAAACAGGAAGGTGACCTCAAAATGTCCGACATTTTATACAAATATGTATTTCTTACTAAGCTTTCCAAATTAAAAGGAAATGAAATTCCTCTGCAATGGGGAGTTCAAAAGCGCCACGCCTACGGGCACTTTTCCAATCTGCAGCCTCCAGCCACGACTGCAGGATGCAACCCTTCATTTCACGTGAGTCGACTAGCGCCATTTCTGGGACGACTGAGAAGGGCGCTCTGGTCTCGGAAAAACATCTATGGTATGGCCCTTCTACCCGCCGCCGCAACTGGCGCGAAACTCTGTGGTAGGCGTTTGGAAATCTGCGCGGGAAGTGTACGGCGGAGGACGTAGCGACGGTGGGTAGGTCCAGGGCGCTAGCCAATCACAGAGCCGGTTTTTCATGCCACACCCCTGTCTGTTACCAGCGCTTCCTTCAGCTTGTTTCCCGCCGCCAGCCAGACTTTTGAGCTGTGAGGGGGCGAGGCGGGAGCGGGGCTTCCGACGTGGGCCTTAAACCAATCGGCGCGCTCCCCTTTGTAAGAGACAGCTCCAGTAACCAATCAGCCAACCGACTCTCTTCCGGATTTCGCATTCCCGCCACCCGGGTGGCAGCCGTTACTGGTGCCGCGCGCGCGGGGTTTCAGTAGGTGAGTTCGACCGCCCGTGCCCTGGATACCATCTTGATTTCTCTTGTGGGAAAGAGGGGCGTGCCTTTAAGTGTCACTCACTGGGCGGAGGTAATTTGGGTTGTCGCTTTAGATTCTTATATGCTAATTATGGCCCGAGGTGTCGGTTTGTTGACTCGGAATCTTTAGGCCACGAGGGTCAATCAAAGATGGTTGCGCTTCTATTGGAGCAAGGGTCGTAGGCGTCGGCTGGGTTGACAGGTGTACCCAACATTCCCTGTCAGCGGTTTCGCCGTGTGTGACATCTTCATAGGTAAAATCTACCCATGCAGTTTTGAATTCTTGTCTTTAATGTGTTCCTTCATCAGTAACTCCGGCGACGTAGCTCCCATGAAAGCAGGATTTATTTTGGTTGGCATGTATTCCAAATAGCGCGAGAGATACCAGGTGCACCTAATCATTGTAAAGTAAGAGGGATAACTTGTGTGTGGGTGTGGGGAGAGGTAGATACAGCTCCACCGCGACGGGTCTGGAGGGATATGTCAAAGTCTGGCCAAGGAGTTACATTAGGGGTGATTTTAGGCAAGGTGATCCTTGAAACCCATCTATGTTGTACTTTCTGCATCTGAAAAAAAAAAAAAAGAATAGTTATACCTACAGGGTTCTTTGAAAGAATAAATGAATTAGACAACTTAAAAGTATTAAAAACAGGTGGGCGTTGGTGGCGCACACCTTTAATCTCAGCACTCTGGAGGCAGAGGCAGGTTGATCTCAGAGTTTGAGACCAGACTGGTTTACAGAGCTAGTTCCAGAACAGGCTCCAAAACCACAGAGAAACCCTGTCTCGAAACACACACACACACACACACACACACACACACACACACAGTTTGACCAGGCCGATAGTGGCTCACGACTTTAATCTCAGCACTCGAGGCAGAGGGACCTTTTAGTTCGAGGCCTGCCTGGTTTCCAGAGTGAGTTCTAGGACAGCTAGAGCTACACAGAGAAACCCTGTCTAGAAATAACAAAACCTAGAGTTTGTACAAGGCTGAGTTTGATCCGCAGTAGTTCCTTGAGATCTGTGTGTTGGTTAGAGGTTAGAAAAATGTAAACTAGAAGACAGTTTATTTTAGGTAGCAATTTCTCAACAACCACACCTATACACAGGTGAGGCCTGGTTCTAAGGAAGGTTATCAGGTCCTCTGGAACTAGAGTAATGAACTGTAATGAACTGTGAGCTATGTGGGTACTGGGAATTGAACCCAGGTCCTCTTGAAGAGCATTCAGTGCTCTTAACCACTGAGCTATCCCTTCAACCGCTAAACTTGCAATTTTTTTTTTTTTTTAAATAAAGAGGTCTTAATATGTTGTCCCAGCTTACCTGGAACTCCTGGACTCCAGCAATTGCACTGCTTCATCTTCCTCTGTAGCTGCACTGTGGACATACAGTTTTATCATGCTTTTATATACTTTAAATTAAGTACCCATTTGGGGGCTGGAGATATATCTCAGTGGTAGAGCATTTGCCATGTGTGATGCCCTAGGTTTAGTTTCCAATGCCTAAAATTCCATATAATATCCCTTTTTACATAATGTATATAATGGTATACTTGGTTGGACTTTAATCTATTTTTTTTCCCCCTGAGACAGGGTTTCTCTATATATGGCTTTGGAGCTTGTCCTGGAACAAGCTGATGTTTTTCTATCAGTTATTCTGAAGAATATAAAAATATTGGGGATGGAGCATGGATAGTAGGAATATGTCATTGGTAGAATGTTTGGCTAGCCTGTATGAGGCCATAAGTGCAACAATTAGTACTACCAATGGGGAAAAAAACAAACCAACCAACCTTTTTTTTTTGTGTCAGGCCTTTAACCCCAGCACTTATGAGGCAGAGACAGGCAGATTTCTGAGTTCAAAGTCAGTATTATCTACATACTGGGTTCCAGAACAGTGAGGGCTAAACAGAGAAATCCCATGTAAAAACAACAACAAAAAACTTTTTTGATTCAAAAATGTTGGCATGTGTCTATAACCCTACCACCTGAGGTGCCAAAGCAGAAATATTAAGAGCTAGAGACCTGGTCAGGCATGGAGGATGATACATGCCTTTGATTATAGCACTTGGGAAGCAGAGGTAGTCAGAACTCTGAGTTCAAGGCCAGCCTGGTATATGTAGTCTGTTCCAAGCCAGTCAGAGCTACATAGTTAGATCCTGTCTACACACACACACACACACACCACACACACACACACACACACACACACACACACACACACACACACACGTGTGGAAACCAGCCTTGGCTGGTTACAATAAGACCTTGCTTCCCAAAACAAAACAAAAATAGTGTGTTGTGTGTATATTTATACTTTTGGCCATGACAAAATATTAAGGTCTGCCGGGTGTTGGTGGCCCATGCCTTTAGTCCCAGCAATTTGATTATAGCACTTGGGAGGCAGAGGCAGGTGGATCTCCATGAGTTCGAGGCCAGCCTGGTCTACAAAATATATTCCAGGCCAGCCTTACCTAGAGAAACCCTGTCTGGGGGGGAGAACAAAAAAAGAAGAAAGGAAGACATCACCTCCACATCACTCCATGTTTCTCCAGGCTTATCTCCAGTTATTTTTTTCCTCTACAAGTATGTATAAACCAATGACAATAACAATGATAATGTGTTTCCCTCACAGATCATGGAAAACACCCAGGTTATTGACTGGGATGCTGAAGAAGAAGAGGAGACAGAAATATCCAGTGGGTCCTTGGGGTATAGCTTGGAGCCTATAGGGCGGCTACGTCTCTTTAGTGGTACTCATGGACCAGAAAGAGGTCAGGAGATATTGGGAGCTGAATGAGTATGGGTCTTGTCATTTCCTTAGAGGCAGATGGATAGTTGGTAGAACCTTATGTGTGTTTCTAAGGGAATATGAATAATTGTTGCACTAGGGATCACCCAAGTTGACTGTTCCAGGCTGGTGCCCTGTATTTTCTGGGAATGATTTTCTTTTGTTAGAAGAAAATGAAGAGCTTCAAATAAAAATGGAATGTGGGAGCTGAAGAGATGGTTCAGTGATGAAGAGTACTTACTACTCTTGAAGAGAACCTGGTTTAGGTTAGCAGTACCATGTGGTAGTCAAAACCACCTGTAGCTCTGGTTCCAGGGAACCTGATGCTCTCTTCTGACCTCGGTCACCTGCACACTTATTGTGGACATAAACTCACACAGGTGCACACTTACACATAAATAATGAGGAAAAAATAATTTTGAGACAGACTGTCCTAGAACTCACAGAGATTCTCCTGCTTCTGCCTCCTACTGAGTGCTGGGATTAAAGGCATGCACCTTCACCAACAGGCATAAAATTTTTAAAAAGTTAAAATACATTGTGGCTTAGAAATGGATATGTAACGTGATTGATTAGTATACTTACAATGATTGAGATGGTAAGATTTGTATTGTGTGTATTTTTTGTTTTTCCTTCGAGACAGAATCTCTATATAGACCTTGCTGCCCTGGAACTTATTATCAAACTGGCCTCAAACTCATAGAAACCTACCTGTCTCTGCCTTTCAAATGCTAGAACTAAAGGCTTGTGCTAATATGCACAGCCTCTATCGTGTATTTTATTACAATAAAAACACCCTTTGGGCATGGTGGTGCATGTCTATGATCCCTGTACTCAGGAGGTAGGTATAGGTTGAAGATAACCTAGGCCACATAGCAAGTTTGAAAACAATCTGGGCTACATAGTGAGTCCCTGGATCAAAAATAAAGCAAGGGTTGTAGCTCAGGGAAAGAGTGCTTAGCTAGCATGCATGAAACTCTGTTTTCAGAGCAATTGAACAGCAAGAATGTGAGTAGATAGAATATTGCAGCTGAGTTATGTGTTGTAAATGTTCTTCTATGCTGGCATGCTGGTTGTTTTTTAATGCCTGTAAGAGCTTTGAGTGAACAATAGGTCCCATCTTCAGGCCAAGACTCTGGCCTTACTCTTTAATGTTTCTTCTTGATCCTTAGATTTCCCACTCTACCTTGGCAAGAATGTAATTGGCCGAAGCCCTGACTGCTCTGTGGCCCTGCCTTTTCCATCCATCTCTAAACAGCATGCAGTGATTGAGATCTCAGCTTGCAATAAAGCCCCTATCCTTCAGGATTGTGGGAGCCTCAATGGCACTCAACTGGTAAAGCCCCCTAAGGTCCTAACCCCTGGAGTGAGCCATCGTCTGAGGGACCAGGAATTAATTCTGTTTGCAGACTTTCCCTGCCAGTACCGTCGCTTGGATGTCCCTCCACCTTTGGTCTCTCGGGGACTTCTAACGGTAGAGAAGACCCCCAGAATACAGGGAGGATCCCAAACCTCCAGAGTTTTGTTGGCTGAGGATTCGGAGGAGGAAGTGGGTAAGTTTGTGCCTTGGGTGTGTATGTGAAGAGACAGGGATGAGGTTGTAAACTGTCAATTTATTCCTTCCTGTTCTTGCCAGATTTTCCTTCTGGAAGGTATGTGGCAAATGGATCAAGGAATCCAACATCTCCGTCAGCAACAGTGGTTCCAGAAAGGTGAGTACCAAAGTACTAGATATCTGAATCTTTTCTTTGTTTTTGTTTTTTGTTTTTTTTTTTTTCTTCAGAGTCTTTGTATCCCGAACTGGTCTTAGACTCATGGCAGTCCTCTGGGTTCAGTCTCTGTATTGAGCTTCCTTGCCTGGTTTTAGACACCTGGGCCTTTGAATAAGGAGTCAGCCCTGAAGAGATGAGGTGATTATCTTGAAAGGTAGAGCCGAGAGCCTAGGCATAATTATTTCCTCGGCTGAATTAAATTATGAAGAGTACTTCTGGTGTACTCAGTGGGTATGTGAAATCAGCTGCCAGCAGTGCCTGCTCCCAGGGCACTCACAGCCAAAGTGGGACGGCCTAACCAGGAAGTTCATTCTGTGGGTCTTTTATCTTTGCAGTGATGAAGAGGGGTCTTCTCCAGCCTCAAGTGTCCGTGGACCGTCTTTGCCCTTTGACTTGGGTAGTGACACAGATGAAGAGCAAGGTCAGCAGCCGGCAGTGGGGGAGGCCTCTCCAGTTGCTAGGGATGGTGCTGCTGCAGAGACCGAGCAGCCGGAAGCTAATGGAATGACAGCTGGCATTCAGGTGGTACTGGCTCAGCCTACTGAGCAAAAGTGCAGGGACACAAAAGTCAAGATTGGAGCACGCAACAGAGCGGCTCTGGTTCGGACAGTTCTGGACAGGAGCTCCACTGTAGGTGAGGACAGTGACACAGAAGTGGATGAAGATCTCCAGCCTTCTGGCTTTGTGGACAGTGATACAGATATGGAAGAAGAGAGGATTCCTGTGACCCCAGTTCCTGGGAATAAGCAAGTAATGCTTGGAATTGGTACAAGGGATCCTGGAGCACCTGGTGTGGCACATCTACAGGACAACACAGCTGGTAGTGACACAGATGTGGAGAAGGGCAGGACTCCACTGGCTGTCCCTCCAGAGAGAGACCACACACATATGGTGATCAACAGTGACACAGATGAGGAGGATGAAGTCTCAGCAGCACTCACCTTGGCCCATCTCAAAGAGAGAGGGATCACTTTGTGGAGCAGAGACTCAGGCGTGGAAGAGGTCAAGTCCCAACCACAGGTCCTTGTGGAACGAAGCCAGAGTGCCTCTGGGAGAGACAGTGACACAGACTTGGAGGAGGGAAAGAGAGAAATGGTCCCTGACAGCCCCATGGACATAGATGGGGCTCTTATTGTCACACATTCAGAGAGCCAGCCTCCCTATAGACCCAGTGATGTAGGTGAGGGTGTGGATATGAGCTCCCCTGGTGACCATCTAGAGGGAAATGAGGCCTCCTCTGCCACAGTAGACAACAATGGTGCACAAGTGGAGGAGGAAGTCCCACCAGAGCCAGCAGCTGTTACCCTAGAGGAAAAGCACCAGCTACCTCTAGAGGAAGCCCAGCCTCCTGAGGAGGCCTGGGAAACAGCTGTGAGGGAAGGCTCATCTTCAGCAGCAGCAGCAGATGTAAAATGGATCCAGCAGCCAGTGGTAGAAGATGCTGGGACAGAGTGGGCTGTAGCTGTTTGTGAGCAGGAGAGCACTCTGGAGGTAGGGGTCCAAGGCAGGTCACCTGTTGCACTGGTGGAGCCGGTGGTGGTGTCTACAGCTACTGCAGGAGATCCCACCCCCACAGGAAAGGCAAGAGGAGCACAAATGGGCAGGACTAAGAATGCCAAAGACTGCAGTGATGGTAAGCGCTGCCCGCTGCTCTGCCCTTGACTATTGAAGTAAACTGGCTATAAGGGTTAGGAGAGAACTGTAGAAGTCTGAGGGTGAGTTGATATTTTGTCTCTTATCTCTTCCCACCAGAATCTGAGGATCTTTGTCTTCCTGCTACCCAGTGCTTTGTAGAAAGGGAGGACCAGAACTCAGGTGAGGACATTGTGTTCTTTGGATTTGAGTGCCAGTTGAGTGCCGGGTGATTAGACTGGTGGTCCTTGAAAGATGGTGTGGCCAAGATGGGGAGTGGGACTCGGACATTCTGGGAGGAACTATGTTCCAGCTATCTTTTCTTCTGCAGCTGTCCAGAGTTTGGAAGATGAGCCTACCCAAATCTTCCCATGTACTCTTCCACAAGAGCCTGGACCTTCCCATCTTAGCCTTCAGACTCCAGGTACAAGAAAGTCTCTCTGAGGCCCCAACTTTGCGTCCTTCCTTGTTTTCTTCCTCTACATCTTTTACTATTGTGTCTTATTTAGATTTATCTATTTTATATGCTTGAGTGTTTTGCCTGCATGAATTTACGGTCACCATGTGTGTGCCTGGTGTCCATAGAGGTCAGAAGAGGATGTCCTATTCCCTGAAACTGGAGTTAAGAACTGTTGTGAGCTACATGGGGGTTCTCAGAACTGAACCCAGGTCCTCTGCAGGAGCAACCAGTACTGCTGACTGCTAAGCATCTCTTCAGCCCTTTATATTCTTGTTTGTTTGTTTAGAGACTGGAGCTCATGTAGCTGAGAATGGCCTTGAATTTGTGGTTCTCCAAGTGCTGGGATTATAGGTGTTTGCCACCACATCCACCAGAGATAGACCAGGATTTCGTGAATGCTAGATGAGCTCTCTACCAACTGAGCTGCATCCCCAGCCCCACCTTTCATAGTCTTATTTTGCTGATGTTCTCCATTTCATCAGGAAAAGAAATCCATACCAGACATAGTGACACACACTTGGGAAGCAAAGGCAGGAGCTCAGGGCCAGCCTGGACTATATGAGACCTTATCTCAAAAGCAAGATGGAGCTGGTTAATCCCAACACTTGGGAGGCAGAGGCAGAGGCAGAGGCAGAGGCAGATGAATCTCTGTGAGTTTCAGGACAGCCAGTCAGGACAGCCAGGGCTACACAGAGAAACCCTATCTTGAGGGGGAGAGGGGGAAGGGAAGGAGGATGGGCTAGAGAACTGGCTGAATAAGAGTGGCAAATGTTCTAGAGAACCAGAGTTCATCCATGTTCATCCATGTCATACAGCTGACAACTACCTGAGACTCCAGTTTCTGGAGATCCAAAACCCTCTCATTTCCATGGGTACCCCCCCACACACACATAATATATGCACACACATGTGAATAAACATTTCTAAATACATCTTTAAAAATAAGACAACAAATTAAAGCAGATTGCTGTCTTACCCTGATTCTAGTTCAGGTGATTTGGGATTGGCCCAAAAACTTAATTTTTTTTCTTCTGCATGGTAGAGGTTGAACTGAGGGCTTTATGCATGCCAGGTGAATACTCTCCCCAGCCCCATACCCAGTCCTTATTTTTCAGATGAAGTTCCTGAGGGAGAGATTATAATCTTCTAAATAGCATTCAATGTCATAACTACCACCCTTATTCCCAGCTTGCCTTTAGTAACCCATTTAGCCATTTGTGAGTCTGCCCTAGTTCTTAACCTTATTGCCTTTTTTTACCTGCATGCCTGTCTCCTTTTTTCTGATCCTCTTTAGGTCCAGGTACCCCAGATGTGCCTTGGGAAGTCTTGGCTACACAGCCGTTTTGTCTGAGAGAACCTGAGGCCTCTGAACCCCAACTTATTGCCACCCACCTTGAAGCTCATGGATCCCATCCATCTGTGCCTAGTGTATCAGCAGGGCCCCAGCATCTGGTTCACACAGAGCTGTTGGGAATTGAAGGCAGAGAGATGCAGACTGTGGAGAAAGCCATGGGTATACCAAAGGACACAGCAGACAGGGTGGCCCCTGAGAGAGAGCTGCTGGAAAGGAAAATCAGGGAAAGAACACCAAGCAGTGAGCAGGAAGACCTGATGGGGGAAGAAGAGCTAGCTCAGGGGGTGGAGGACAGAGGGCCAAGGAAGGTGCTAGCTAGAGACAGACAGGGACAAGAGCCTGACATGGTGAAGGGTAGTGATTCTGAAGGGAATAAGGAGAGTGTGATGGAAGAAATGGAAATGTCCAAAGACATACAGAAGAAAGAGAGGGAAGCAGGGAGACCAGAACCAGAAGTGACCCTGGATAGGGGGGTGACAGAGGGAGGGAGCCATGATCAGAAAGAGCAGATTGCCGATCTAACACTAAAGCCTGGATTTGGCATGCGGGACCTTGAGGGACTTGCATCAGCCCTCATAGTCTCTGGGAGCCAGGGCCATGGAGGAAAGGGAACCCCTGTGAGCCCCAGGAGGCAGCAGAGAGGTAAGTGAGGGCAGAAGGAGCCAGTGTGCTATGTAACCCTCATGACAGCTAGTCCCTGAGCTATGGCTGCACAACACTCAGACACTCCTGTTCTATTCTGTCTAGGCCACTTGAGTTTCAAGATGACATCTGCTGGAGAGGCTTCCAGGGTGAGCTGTGTTTTTGTCCTGCTCCTACTTCACAAGTTGTCCCCATCCCTGCTGCCCTGTTACCATGCCTGTCTTTTATCTGTACCTTTGTTTATAGTTCCTGTTTTCTTAACTACATGTACATTTGTGCATGTTTGTGAGAGTATGTGTTTGGGGGAGGTACATGAGGAAGCCAAGTAACAAGCTGTGTGTTGTTCTTCAGGAACCGCCCAACTTTTTGGAAAGGTGGGGGTGAGGATCCTCAGCTATCTTAGAATTTATTGCGGTAAATAAGGATCAGGATAAACAAATAGGCCGAATAGATGTTTATTCAGGGAGAAATAACTTACAACCTAGACAGATGAACACCAGGAAATTCAACCCGATCGATCCTCTCCTGTCCGAGTCACGAGAGCGCCTTCCTGGCCCCCTCCGACCTCCTTCCTCAGGTCACCTCCGCCCATCGCTCCACCCCCCAATGGGCGTGGTCAGTGCTACAGAAGGACTACCTCACTACAATTCCCCTTTTAGTCTAAAGAAAAGATTTAGGCTTAATACAAAACTATATACAAAACAGTGAATAACAAGTGTGCTCTAAGATAAGGAAAATCGAGAACAAAATGACCTACATATCTAGTCCTAGGGTGAGGGCAATGGAGTTTACAATAGAGTTGTCCTAAGCTGGAAAACGTAAGTCTAGTACCTAATATATCTAACTAGGAAGAGAGAATAATAGTTGTGATAGTTTAATCTTCAACCTCATCAAGACCTGAGAAGGAAATTAACAATACTAGAGTAGACAGGAAATGTGGATGGACAACTTCCAAAAGGTGCAGCAAGGACAGAAACAGCAAGCCACCTGAACAGTCACCCTAGGTCTCACAGCGACGTTGGTACACCCAGATTTGGCTAAGGCCAAGAGAACTTGACAGACCACAACAACAGCAGGGAAATAGAATGGCTGTCTTACCCTGACTTGGCAAGGTCAAGCAGTCTTCTATATTTGTCTCCTGCAAGCACATAGGACTGCATGTCCAAATCAGTGGTCAAGGTGGGGGCAATTCTATGCCCAACAGGCCATTAGCTGAGGCGAGATTGAACTCCAGCAGGAGCAACAACAGTGTCCAACATATTTTCGGGAAAGTGCACGGTGCTGTCAGGAGCAACAGTGTCTCATGTCAATGGAGTACTAATATTAAAACATTTAAATGCCATGTTCTGCATGTCTATGAAGTGATTGAAGATTAAGCATCTATATCTGACTAATCTCATAGGTACAGGAAATGTGAGTGAAGATAATCTGTAATACTCGGGAACTTAGCTAAAAAGACTGATTAAAACTTTCCTGAGTAAAGCAGGAACAAATACTTAAACAATATAACTATTTACATATACCTACATGTAAATCCCTAAAATAGAGGTAGAGTATAAGTGTCAAGACAAGAGGTAGAACTATAAAGGGCAGCAAGATAAATATCCCAAATTGTATCAATATACAAAATGTCTTGAATACAGGAAAAGTATACATACATAGAATATGGTAAAAAATAATGTGCATAAAATATTATAAGTGGAAACATTTAACACAATATAACAAAATATAAACTTAATTTTACATAGCTTACCACATAAGAATACACAACAATGTAAGCTGTAAAATACTATCTCATTCTTACTCAAATTCTCAAGAAAATAGGCTAATCTACCTATATCCCATCTAAACCATACCTTTACCAACCATTCCCTATTCCTGTCTAAAAGATAAACCCGAGTGTGAGCATCACCCAATCCCAAATAACTAAAACCAACCCAAAGACGATGACTATTATCCCAAAATTCCAAGGGTAGGGAAAGGGGGCGTAGTCATATTAAGATTACTTCCTGCTGAAATGGGACGATGATTGCTCCAATGGATCCTGTAGGAAGAAAATTTTTAGTAACCAAATTTCTCAAAAGAACTGGCTGTGACATATGTAGTTAGTCACTGTGTGGCAGAAAATTCTTGACTCTAGTTCTATTTGAAACTCTGGTCAGGGTGTAATAAAAAGGTGCACCATTACAGCTAGCTAGTCATGAGTTGTCTCGAGCAAAACAGTCTGAAGTAGACTGGGATGCTTGACCATCAAACTCTGAGGGCCATCATGTCTACCTGCCTAGCCCTGGGATCACAAACATGTCACTCTGCCTGCCTTTTTTACACAAGTTCTGGAGATCCAATTCAGATCCTAGTTGCTTGCTTTGCCTACTGAACTGTCTCCCTAGTCTCACGTTTCCAGTTTTCTTTTTTGTCACTTATTGCTTGGCGTCTGTTCCTGTGTCCTGCCACCCATTGTCCCCAAGTCTCTTTGTGCTTCTGTCCTTTTTGCCCACCGATGTCTTAGTTACTGGGTACAGCCACCTTTGCAGAACACTGTACTGGAGTTATGGAGAGATTCCTTATGGTATCCAAAAGATTGCTTCCTGTCCCAAGGACTTCCTAGCCTAAAGAGAGGTCACAGAAAGAGGTGCCAGTGAGCATGCTGTGACCATAAATAAAACCAAAGGCAGACATGCTGACCTAATGGGCCTGTCATCCCAGCACCTGGCAGTAAAGGTAGAAGAATAAGTGGAGGACATTGTGATCACATGAGGTCCTTCTTCAGAAACACCGAGAAAGATCCATGCCCACCTCTTTTTTTTTTTTTTTTTAATAATTTCTTTTACATTCATTGGTGTTTTGCCTGCGTGTGTGTCTGTGTGAGAGTGTCAGATCCCCTGGAACTGGAGTTACAGACAGTTGTGAGCTGCCATGTGGGTGCTAGGAATTGAATCCAGGTCTCCAGGAAGAGCAGCCAGTGCTCTTAACCACTGAACCATTTCTCCAGCCCCACCAACCTTTTTCTTGCTGCCTTTATCACTTGCTTCTCCTCCTCAGGGTGATCCAGATACCTTGGCCCATCACCTGCTTTCTCCAGTTCCTGAAGCTTCTGTTCCACCTCAGAGTCTCTTCACCTCTCAGAGTCAAAAGCAGTCTACACCCCAGCCTCTGTTTTTGACTTCTTCCCCTCCTGAGACTCTTCACACAAAGCCTAACATCAGGCCTCGGCGGTCCTCCAGGATGACACCTTCCCCACACTCTTCTGCTGCCCTTAAGCCCTATAGTACCTGCTCCCCAAACCTGTCTGCTGCCCCTAGAGCAACATCTCGGGCCACTCGAGGCAGGGCAAATAGGTCCTCTACCAGGACCCCGGAACCAATTGTCCCTACAGACTCTGAGCTCCAGCCTTCAACCTCCACAGAACAGCCTGTCATCCCCAAACCCACATCTCTGGTCACTCAGGGCAGCACAGATGGTTCCTTTGTTAAAACACCTGAACCAGTTGTTCTCACAGGTCTTGAAATCCAGCCTCCCACCTCCACAGAACAGCTTGTTACCCCAAACCCCGCACCTCGGGCTACTCGGGGCAGGCCACGTAGGTCTTCCATCAAGACCCCAGAACCACTTACTCCCACTGTTCCTGACTTGCAGCCTCCCACTTTCACAGAACAACCTGTCATACCTAAACCCATATCTCAGGCCACTCGGGGCAGGTTACATAAGTCTTCTACTAGGACTCCAGAACCAGTTATCCCCACTATCTCTGAATTCCAGCCTCCCACCTCCACAGAACAGCCTGTCACTCCTAACCCCACATCTCGGGCCACTCGGGGCAGGCCACGTAAGTCTATCAGAACCCCAGAACCAGTTGTCCCCACTGTCTCTGAACTCCAGCCTCCCACCTCCACAGAACAGCATGTCAACTCTGAGCCCTCATCTCAGGACAGGACACATAGGTCTTCTGTCAGAACTCCTGAAGCAAGCATCCCCACAGTCCCTGAACTCCAGCCTTTCACATCTAGAGTACATCCTGCCCCCAAGCCCACAGCTCTGGGCACTTTGGGAAGGACATGTAAGTCCTCCATTGAGGATTCTGAATCAGTTGGACCCATAGCCCCTGATTTTGAGCCTCCCATCTCCATAGACCATCTTGTTGCCCCTGAGGTGACAGGTCAGAGCATAACACTAAAGTCTTCACCACTAAGTGGTTCTCCAGTTTCCTCCACCTCTGAACTCCAGCCTCCTATCCCCACAGCCCAGCCTATTCCCTTGGAGCCCATTCCTCAAGCCAGTCACCGAAGGAGGCGGAAGGCTGCTGGGAAACAGGGTTCCCACACAGTTCCCATTGGCCAGGAGCCTTACTCTGCACCTTCTGAACCTGAGTCCCAATCTTCAACCAATCAAGGCTCAGCATTAGAAGCAGCTGAGTCTGTTACTGTTGTTCTTCCTGAGCCTGCCATTCCCCAGGTTCCAGAGACCCCCACTCACATCCCCCCGATGCAAAATGAAGCAGCTGGGAGATCAGGGCTCATTCCCAAGCCCCATACCGAGGCTTCTCGGGGCCGAAAGAAGCCTCCTACCACTACAACCTCACCACTTCAAAAACGTCCCCGAAGACAAGTACCCCAGAAGACCATAGTCCCCAAGGAAGAAGATCCTGCAGAAACGCCAGTGAAGGAAGAGGTAAGGGGACAGCTGGGGCCTCCTAGCTAGGAGTGAGAGCTACAGAACTCAAACACCCAATGATATGTTTTTCAGTCTCAGGAGAGAGCAATTCCAACACCAGGCAAAAGGAAGAGGGACCGTGCAGAAGATGAGACCCAGCGTAACCCAAGTAGAAGCCGGCGAACTAAACCTAACCAAGAAGCAGTAGCTCCCAAGGTAGGAAACAAAGGGCTGGGGATTGAGAGATAAGTGCTGCTGGTGTGGGTAGCTGTGACCGTCTTCACTCTGTCCCCCAGGTACTGTTCACAGGAGTTGTGGATTCTCGTGGAGAGCGTGCAGTCCTGGCTCTGGGAGGCAGTCTGGCCAGCTCAGTAAATGAGGCCTCCCACTTGGTCACTGATCGCATCCGCAGGACAGTGAAGTTCTTGTGTGCCCTGGGGAAGGGGCTTCCTATCCTCTCCCTGAATTGGCTGTATCAGGTGAGAAGCCAAAAGATGTGAGTGGCAGGAAAAGCCTGCTCACCTACCCTCCAAGGAAGCTGAGAGGAAAGGAGATGGAGAATCAAGCATTAGTGAGGCCGAGACTGCTTTGGAAAGATACTTATTGTAAGGGCTTGAATGACTCAGTGGTAGAGCACTTCCCTAGCATGCTTGACATCTTGGGGTCAGTCCTCAACACTGGGGTGGAAAGGAAGACAGGATAAATTCTCTTCAGATGAACTGCCTGTTCTTTCCCTTAGTCCAGAAAGGCTGGTCACTTCCTGCCACCTGATGACTACTTGGTGACTGATCCTGAACAAGAGAAGAATTTTAGCTTCAGCCTTCGGGATGCCCTGAGCCGGGCTCAGCAACGAAAACTGCTGGAGGTGAGAGGCTGCCTTTTGCACCATGCTTTGTGCTTTGGTGCCACCCCTTGTGCCCCCAGGAGGTTTCCCAATCACCTTAGCCTCTCAGTGCAGACATCATGTCTCCACCACTCCTCTTCCTTAGGGCTATGAGATTCATGTGACCCCTGGAGTGCAGCCCCCCCCACCTCAGATGGGCGAGATCATCAGCTGCTGTGGGGGCACAATCCTGCCCAGCATGCCCCATTCCTATAAGGTATGACTGGCATGTGCTGAGCCTGAGGAAGGAGCCGATAGAAAGGCAGTGGGAGTGAGAACAGAATGGAGGACTGATGGAGGGGAAGGGGAAGAATGAGGGAAGGCAGTGGGCTTGGTTTTGTTTTGAGAGTTAAATATTTCTAAGTAGCCAGATGTGGTACCACACCACACACTGGCATTATAGCTCTTGGGGCTTGGAGGCAGGAAAAACAGAAGTTCTAGGTATGAACTCATGTAAAATAGCAGTCTGATCTGCATGTGACTCTGCCCCCCCCAATATTTATTAATAATATGCACAGGGAATAGGGACTGGAGAGATGATGGCTCATCGGTTAAGAAATCTTGCTGCATCCTGAGCATGAGATCCCAGCGCCCACATCAGGTGGCTCATAAACACTAACTCCAATAAAAAGGAATTTGAAACCCTCTTCTTCTGGCCTTCATGGACACCTGTATGTTTGTGTAATATGCAAACAGACACACATATACAAAATTTATGTGTCAATATTTTCCAGATTTAGTCCTTTCCTTTGACTGTATGCCACCAATGCCCAGCACTTGAGAGGCAGAGGCAGGCAGCCAGATCTCTATGAGCTGGAGGCCAGCCTGATCTACAAAGCTAGACAGCCAGAGTTATTCCATAGAGAAATCCTATCTGGAAAAAAAAAAAAAGTTATTTGTTATTTATGTGTATGGATGTTTCACCTGAATGTGTGTGTGTGTGTCTGCACCATTTGTGTACTTGGTGTTGGTAGAGGTCAGGCATTGGATTCCCTGAAACTGGAGTTACAGATTGCTATGAGCCACTATGTGGGTGCTAGGAACCAAACCTGGGTCCTCTACAAGATCAACAAGTGATCTTAATTGCTGAACCTCTCCACCCTCATTTATTTTAATTAAAAAAAAATAAACCCCCATATACTTTGTATTCATATGCAATAGTTTAAATTATGAACTTTTTTTAAAACAATTCAGTGAGAACTCCCAATTTCTTTTCTTTTTTTTTTTTTTTTTTGAGACAGGTTGTGCTGATATTTATGATTTAATAAAGATTACCTGAAGTATCAGAATGCAAACTAACTAGCCATACTAGTTAGCCATAGAAGCCAGGTGGTGGTGGTATATACCTTTAATTCTAGGACTCAGGAGACAGAGGTAGATGGATCTCTGTTCAAGGTCACATTGAACTACATGAAATTGATCCAGTCTAAAAGATACACAGTTTATACAAAGATCTTAGCCCTTGGGGTCCTATCATGCCTTTAACCCCAGGACTTGAGAGGTTATAAAGGAAAGAAGCAAAGGGTCACATGTGGCAATTGGTCTCCAGCCATGCTGAAGAGAGCATAGCAGTCTGGGATTGCATTCTGAAGCTTGGTGGAGACAGGATTTCACATTTCAGTCTGAGGTAGAGGTAAGAGCTACTACTGGCTTGGCTGCTTTGCTTATCTGATCATCAGCTTGAACCTCAGTATCTCTGGGTTTTTATTATTTGTCAGGGTTTCTCTTTGGCTTTGGAGCCTGTCCTGGAACTCCGTAGACCAAACTGGCCTTGAACTCACAGAGATCCTCCTGCCTCTGCCTCCCAAATATTGGAGAATTCCCATTTCTTAAAATTCAAAAAGCCAGAGTTCATATAAAGCCCATGTATGTGTTATATGTCCTGGTTTTCTTACTGTGTAGTGTCTGGTGATTCCAACCACCTGACCCTCTCCTGCCTTTATAGCAGTTAACTTCCCAACAGACACTAGACTGCTGTCCCTGGGAAAATTCCCCAGTCAGATTTTTTTCTGTGTGTTCCCTTGTTTGTATCATTTTTATCTTATCCCACTATATTCTGTATTTCTTGCAAATTATAATTATAAAAGCAGCAATGGGGGCTGGGAATAGAGCTCAGATGGCATCTGCTTGCCTGGCTAGTACATACAACTCTGGTTTTGATACCCAGCATACATGAACTGGACTTGGTAATACAGACCTGTACTCCCAGCACCCTGGGAAGATCATAAGTTCAAGATCATCTTTAACTACATAGTAAATTTTAGGCCAGTTTGGGTTGTATGAAGCTCCTTTTCAAAAAGTAGAGGGGAAGGTGGGCTAGGCAGTGTGCTTCATGCATGCTTTATATTATGTGTTTGTGTATATATACATATGACTGTAAATGTATACAGTCTCAGTTCTGAGACTGCTTAGGGGATCCTGCATCTGTTTCTGGGTCCTTCCTACCTAACTGGCTTTGCTATGTCTTCTACAGCCTCATCGAGTTGTCATAACTTGCACTGAAGACCTGCCTCGCTGTGCTGTTCCGTCTCGCCTGGGGCTGCCCCTCCTGTCTCCTGAGTTCCTCCTGACAGGAGTGCTGAAGCAGGAAGCCACACCAGAGGCCTTTGTCCTCTCCAATTTGGAAATGTTATCTTCCTAAAAAAAAAAAAAAAAATCTACCTCTACCTCTCAGACCAGCAAACACTCCTAGAAAACATTCGCAAAAAGGAACACACACAATTAACACTGTGCAGAGTGGTCCACACCTTTAATCTCAGCACTTGGAAGGCAGAATTAGGCAGTCTTTTGTGAGTTCCAGGCCAGCCAGAGCTACATAGTGAAATTCTGTCTCAAAAACAAAACAAAAAAAACCCTTCAAGGCCTAAGAAGATGTATTGAAATAATTGCTTTGGGAATATGGATAAGAACAATGAGTTTTTGAAAAAGAAAAAGGATTTTCCCCCCTCTGAGATGTCCATTTTGAAATTGGCCAACCCAAGCTGGGGGTGTAGTACTGTGGCAAAGCACTTGCCATCCGTGGTGGAGGCCCTGGTTCAGTCAGCAGCCTGTAGCCACACTGACTAAGCTGCTGTTCTAGGCCAGCACCCTGGTCTTGCCCCCTTTTCCTTTTTCTCCCAGGATTCTTAGTCAAAGTGAACCAGTTCCCAGAAATACCTGACTGAGAAGATGAGAGTAGCTCATGGGATATGTTTTCTGGTATGTGACTCTCCTGGTTAGAAAGGGCTTTTAGTTTTGCTGCACATGGCCTGCTTTTCCAGTATCTGCTGTTAGCTTTGGTCATTTCTGTGGTAAGTCAGTGCTCACTCAGCCTGCCTGATGTTGAATTTCTGGTGTGGTGACATAAGACAGTTTTGAACTTACATTCATTTATCAGTATTGATTTAGAGTAAATTGTATTTGTTTTTAAAAGTTGGTCACTAACCTCCGCAGTCAATAGTTTGAAAGTTTCTTTAAAATTTTTTTGTTTTTGCTTTTTGTTTGTTTGTTTGTTTTTGTTTTTGTTTTTTTATTTTTCGAGACAGGGTTTCTCTGTATTGCTTTGGAACCTATCCTGGAACTAGCTCTGTAGACCAGGCTGGCCTTGAACTCAGAGATCCGCCTGCCTCTTCCTCCCAAGTGCTGGGACTAAAGTTGTGCACCACCAATGCCCAGTGAAAGTTCCTTTTAAGTTAAGTGAAAAGCTAGTCATGGGCATTTCCAGTAGTTTCAGTATGTAGGGGCTGAAACAGGATGGCCATAAGTTCCAGTCTGGCTATTGAATAAAACCCTGTCTTTAAAAGGAGGGTTGTTTTGTGGTTTTCGAAGTTAGCTGGTGGCATCTCTATGGTAGAGATGGCACTCATCTGGCCAGCCTGATTACCATATGACCCAGCAATATGGCTCTGCCTGCTGTGCTTGGCTTCTAATTCCAGTAGTCCAGGTAGGGGCAAGTGGGATCAGAAGTTCAAGGTCAGCTTTGGCTACATAGCAAATTGGAGGCCAGCCTAAAGCTACAAGAGACTAAAAAATGAAAATCAGGCACTTGATAAATGTTTTTTTGGGGAGAAGGGGCCTTTATGCTTGCTAGGTAATCACTTTGCCACTAAGCCTCATTCCCAGCCCTTTACTACTTTTTAAGATAGCCATATATAGAAGTACTGTAGATGGCTGGACAATGGCGGCACACAACTTTAATCGCAGCACTTGGGAGACAGAGGCAGGTGAAACTCTGTGAGTTTGAGGCCAGCCTGGTCTACAGAGCTAGTTCCAGGACAGGCTCCAAAGCAATACAGAGAAACCCTGTCTTGAAAAACCAAGGGGGGGAAAAAAAATTCATTGCATCCCAGACTCTGAGGACCTGAGCAAGGAGTCTAGTGTTTCATTGTGAGGAGTTGAGAATATTGGAGCCAGAAAGAAAGAGGTTGTACATAGTGCAGAATAAATAATGCTGTACTAAATATCTCTTTTCTATGTGAACTTTAATAAAAATACAGTTGCTTACTTTGTATACTTTTCTGCAATGAGCTATGTATATAAGCTTCCAGAACTACTCTGGTGTAGTATATGTAGCCTACTTCCTCTCCAGGTGGTAGGCATCAAACTAGGCCCTGCTCAAGTTGGCAACTGTTTTACAACTCATTCACACACCTGCTATATGCTGTGTCTCTGGTTTTTCCTTTTGGGGGTGTTGGGATTCAGCAATGCTACTCAAATAAATATTACACATTAAACTATAGTCCCAGACCTCTATTAACTTGGTGCCTGCAGAAGTCAGAATTCGGCCTTGGATGCCCTTCCTCAGGAGTCCACTTTGTTTTTCTTTGAGACAGGGTATCTCACTGGGACATGGGGCTCTCCAATTAGGCTAGGCTAGCTGGCTGGTGAGCCCTAGGCATCTGTCTCCCTAGGGCATGAATTAATCACTTTAAGGATGAAGCAGGGTAAAGAGAAACCACAATGCTTAGTGCAATCCTTGTTTCCCACCTACGAGTTCTGGTACCACTTCAGAGCACCTAAAACAGTGGAGCCCAAAGGTGCTATGCTGCAGTCCCAGTACTTGGAGGCAGAGGCACTAGGATCAGTTCAAGACTATTCTCAGCTACATAATACCAAGTTCAACGCCAGCCTGGACTACATGAAGATTCTGCCATTTAAATAAAAAGTGGAGAGAGAACTTCCTCAAAGAAACATAGTCTCAGACTCAGCCCACTCAGTACAAATTTCCCAAAAAGAGCAGGCTCGGGAGAAAATGTGCTATACAGTGCGTGACAGCTTGGTCCTGTGGCCGTGGGCGCACCCAGCCTGGGTACTGCTAGATGTTCCTTCATCCCTCAGCCTAAGGGCCTTGCCCTTGCTTGTCAGGGGAAATTTTTTATATCCATAACTTTGTTCTATCTGTAAAACCCACGTCTTCTGATGACCCTTTCGGACTGGGTCTCCATGTGCAGTCGAAGCTAACTTCAATCTTCCTGCCTCAGCCTTCAGAGTACTAGAATTACAGGCACGAACCATCACGAGCCTCTCTAAACTGATCACCAAAGAAAAATCTAGGGCGTGGTGGCACCGCCTGTGACCCCAGCACACCAGGGACTGAGGCTGGAGGATAAGGAGTGGCTATTGTAAAAGACAGAACGTTTTTCATGTTTCCACGCAAGGGAGGCTTTTCACTTTCCACGCGAACACTGGCCACACTAAGATTCGACCCACGCGGTGGCTGCAGAGCCATTGCCCTGACAACGCCTGGGGGTTCCAAGCTCCGCACTGTGACGAGCGCCTCGCGGTCCCCGCCCTGCGGCCAGCACCCCATGGAGGCGGGACCTGGGCGGGACTAGAAGCCGCGGGAACCCTGGGTCCGCCTCCTCGGCAACTGCTTGCGGCTCGCCATGGCCCCGGCGCTGCTGCTGGTCCCGGCGGCCCTCGCCTCCTTCATCCTGGCCTTTGGCACCGGAGTAGAGTTCGTGCGCTTCACCTCCCTGCGGCCGCTGCTTGGAGGAATCCCGGAGTCCGGTGGTCCGGGTGAGCCGCGGGATCTAGGGCGAGCCGAAGCGGAGAGGAGGAGCCAGAGCAGCGTGGAGAGGGCGGAGCGGGGAAACAAATGACAGAGAAACGCCAAAGCTGCGAGGCGCCGCAGGGAAGAGAACAGAAAAGCTAAATCAGAAACTCCAAGATTAAGTTGTGCAGAAGCTGGGGAGTGAGGGCTGTCAGAGTATGCGGGGACAAGGGTAGGCTTTTGTGGAGAGAACCAGAGACAGGGGAAATAAGAGGAAATATTAGGAAACCGCGACAGAGGTCTGCGGTGGCTCACGCCTTTAATCCAAGCACTCGAGAGTCAGAGACAAGCAGATCTCTGAGTTCAAGGCCCTCCTGGTCTAGTGAGTAAGGGTTATGTATTTACAGAGACCCTGTCTCAAAATAAAAATAATAAATAGAGCCACACCAAAGGTGACTTCCTCAGACTTGCTCTGTGTGTGTGTGTGTGTGTGTGTGTGTGTGTGTGTGTGTGAATATATGTGGAATGTGTGCTTGTGTTAGTTCCTGCGTGTGCAGGTGCAACTGAGGGCCAATCTTGTGTCTGTCTTTAGGAGCTAGCCACTTTTTTGTTTTTAGACAGGTACTTGCTATGTCCCTGTCCTCCTCCCCGACCCCCAAACTGGCTTGAAACTCAGAGGTCTACCTACCTCTGTCTCCCAAGTATTTGGGGGACAGAGTCTGCCACTGAAACCAGTGGCCTACCAACTAGGTCAGATGGATTCCCTAGAACTGGGGTTAAGGATGACTGTGAGCTGTCATGTGGATGCTGAGAACCAAACTGGGTCCTCTGGAAGAGCAGCCAGTGTTCTTAACCGCCAAGCCATGGCACCAACCCCTCTGGGGATTCTTCTGTCTCTGCCTCCCCAGCACTGAGATTACCACCATACACCACCATGCTGGGCTTTTTGTAGGGGTCCTAGGGATGGAATTCAGGTCCTCATGCTCACACAACACTAATGGACTGAGCCACTTCCTCAACCCTCCGACGGTGGCTTTAATAATGGCCCTGCCAGCATTCTCCTGAGAGCCTTCTTCCCCAGAAGGAGACCAGGGAAGATGGAAGATGGAACAGGAAATTGAACTGGGTATGGCCTTGACAAGATCTTGAAAGCACCAGAGGCATGGCATAGGGCTCCAAAAGAAGATGAGGGTAAGGGGAATGTTCTAGTCACCTCAACTGTCCCTTTGTATCTTTCTCCTCCCCCCACCCTCCCAGATGCCCGCCATGGGTGGTTGACTGCCTTGCAGGACCGAAGCATTCTGACCTCCCTGGCCTGGGATCTTGGGCTTTTGCTATTGTTTGTGGTGCAACACAGCCTCATGGCAACTGAGACAGTGAAAGCATGGACATCCCGGTACTTTGGAGTCCTTCAGAGGTCACTGTATGTGGCATGCACTGCCCTGGCCTTGCAGGTATGTGCTTACAGGTATGTGCATGTGCTTACACTGGAGGGACAAGATGAATGTGTAAGAAAACAGAAAATCTCAGCTTCCACTCTCCCAGAGCATATATCCTCCATTCTATCAGCAAAGGTCTGATTTGGACATTCTCCAGCACAATGTGAGGAGTCTCACCCTTGCAACTTTGTGTATATATATTGGTTCTTTTGAGTCAGGGTTTCTCTATGTAGCCCTGGCTGTGCAGGAACTCCATCTGTAAACCAGGCTAGCCTTGAACTCAGAGATACACCTGCCTCTGCCTCCTGAGTGCTGGGATTAAAGGTGTGGACCACCACTGCCTGGCTTGCTTGAGATCTTAATTCCTCCTTAGTTTCTGTCTTGTCTCAAGAGAAGTCGCCTTCCGTTTAGTCTTCTCACTGGATGTTTGGTATAGGCTAGTCTGGTGGGTATCCACCAGCGCCCATTCCATCCATTCTGTAAATCCTATATAGAAATGGGTCGTACCCCATCCAGAACCCTCCGCATGGTAAATACCGGGGGAGGGGGACAGTTACAGGTTACTGTGGGGCAAAGGAGACCACTGGCATGCTTAGTATTTCATCTTTCCCAGCTGGTGATGCGGTACTGGGAGACTGTGCCCAGAGGCCCGGTGTTATGGGAGGCTCGGGCTGAACCATGGGCCACCTGGGTGCCCCTCCTCTGCTTCGTGCTCCATGTTGTTTCCTGGCTCCTCATCTTCAGCATCCTTCTGGTGTTTGACTACGCTGAACTCATGGGCCTTAAACAGGTGAGCATCCCATATCCCTGCCTGAGACCTATGTCCACAATTCTTTCCCTCCCATACCTTCTCAACTCCTCTCATCTTTCTGGTCCCTTGCCACCTTTTATGATCATCGGTCTTCTTTCGGCTTGCCTTCAAAGGTCAGTAACTATAAGTTTTTGGGCTTGAGCATGATGGGGTAGAGTCTCAAAAAGGGTCTTGGGCCTGATTTTTAACATGCCAGGAAGAGTGCAGAGTCCGCTGAGAGTTTGATTTCCATGCTGTAATCTCTCTCCTAGGTATATTACCACGTACTGGGGCTGGGCGAGCCCCTGGCCCTGAAGTCTCCTCGGGCTCTGAGGCTCTTTTCCCACCTTCGACACCCAGTATGTGTGGAACTTCTGACAGTATTATGGGTGGTTCCCACATTGGGCACCGATCGCCTTCTCCTGGCTCTTCTCCTTACCCTCTACCTTGGCTTGGCTCATGGGCTTGACCAGCAAGATCTCCGCTACCTTAGGTCTCAGTTACAAAGAAAACTCCAGCTCCTCTCCAGACCCCAGGATGGGGAGGCAGAGTGAGGAGCTAGTGGCCAGTTCCAAGGCCGGTACTTCCTCAAAATCAAAACCCCTTAATCCAGGCCCTGTTTGCTTCAGACCAGAGGCTGGAAACCATGTGCTGAAGGGGTGGTTCCTTCCCCTGCTTGAGACCTCTACTCTAAATTTAGAGTTTCAGCCACTGACAGGGTCCACTTCTCACCAACCAAGAGCGCACGGCGCAGGCAGGCGCACTAAGGGTCCTGCCTTGAGCAGTCACTCCCCTAGTACTGTTACCAGATCTGCACCTCAGGGATTCCCTTCCTAGCTTCCACTTCAAGGAGCTATGGCACGGCCAGTCTGCAAGTTTGCAGGTAGTGACTATCCCTTTAGCACTGCGGCTGTGTACTTCCCCTGCTCCTGCCTTAATTTCCCCACCTCCTTAGGTCCTGCCTTACAGCTTCTTGTGTCTCCCGCTTTTTTAAATCGGTCTCCTAAAGCGATGTCTCGTTTTTAACTCGGGCTGACTCAGGGCTCCCTGGTGTCTCAAAGGGTATGCGCTGCAAAAAAATAAAAAAATTTCTACATATGTTGTACAGTTGTCTGTCCATGTCTCTCAAGCCGCAGAATCAAGTGTGGGAAAGACGACGAGGCCAAGCAAGTTCTTGAAGTAGCAGCCAAGCACTCTGACGCCCGGCGGGCTGGGGCCACACCCCAAAGGCCCGCCCCCATCTCCCAGTCACCCAGTCCTGCTCCCTCCAAATAATAGCTTCTCCGCCTATAGATCAGGGAACCCGTTGGAGACAAGAGTAAATCTCCGGGAGGGGAGCGGACTCCCAAAGCCATTTGCCTCAGAATCTGGGGCCTGGCAGCCACCCACACCGCCACGGTAACAAAGACTGGCCAGGGAGAGCGAAAGCGTGGGGAGGAGCGGCGAGTGATGGGAAGGGCGGGTCCGACTCCAAGCAGCTGCTGCTTCCTCCCCAAGTCCCTCAGGGGGCCTGAGTCACGGGCCGCCGCCCCGGGTCGGCCAGCTGGAGCAATAGGTCTGGACACCCAGCTTCTCCAGGGCTGCGAGAGGAAGTGGGTGAGCTCCTCTGGAGACAGAACGAAGAGCTGTGGACTGTCACACTGCAAGAGGGGAGTGCCACCGCGGAGTCCCACGCGGGAAGGAGGGCAGTGAAGCCCCGCCCTTCGCCGGGCTCCGCCCTGCGCCCCCTTCCCTCGCCCCATTGTCCGTAGACAAAGCGGTCGCCGCCCCCGCCTGGCCCCCGTCTGAGTCTCCGTCCCTCCTCCTAGGCTCCCTCTTCCCTCCTCCTCTACTTCCCTCCCTCCGGATCTCCCTTTGCCTCTGTCCTCTTCTCTCCCGACGCCTAGCTCCACCGCACCTCCTCCTAGGGACCCCAAGGCGTGTAAGTTGATTGTGGGGTTCCCACTTTAAGGGAAGTGTCTCCTGGTTCCTGATCTCCCTTGGAGTGCCTCCCTTTTGTGCAGACTGTCTGTCCGTGCAGCTCCCGCGGGTGCATGGCCCGCTGGGTCAAGGTTCCCTGAGAGCGGGGTCCCTGGTTGGGGACAGCAGAGACGGGCCCTCGGAGCACCCAGGTCCTAGGGCGTAGTTGGTGGGGAGGCCGGTGAGGTTGAAGGGACTGGACACCAGGGTACTGGGAATGTGTAAGCAGCACACTCATTTGCTCGGGTACCAAAAGTCCCCGAGGAGGGTATTTCCCCTGACCCGCCTCTGGGGCGGAGTACGCGGTGGGGTAGGGGCCGGACTGAGGGGCGGGGCCGAGCGCAGCCGGGAAGGCAGCCGGGACCTGCGGGGCCAGTGCGAAAAGGCGCCCTTGCCCTTGCCCGCTTGCCGTCTCCCCTTCTCCCCCAGACCTCTGCCTTCTTCATCTGTCCTCAACCTTCTCACATCCCCTCCGACCCCTTCGCCCCCTCTCCGGCTGGTTCCCGGGTCTTCCTTCCCACTTATCTCCCTTGGATACCGGGGAGGCAGCCTCGACTGAACCCTCACTTCTCAGCCCCAGTCCCCCTTCTCCGCCCCATCTTCTCGCTCTCTCCTGCCTTTCCTTCCCTTTCTCATATCTTAGGGACTGGCCAGTGCCCACAAACCCCAATCTGGCGCTGCCTCTGCCCGGAATCTCGACTCTTCCTCTCCCATTATCCCCACCCCCAACTTGGCACCCAGCTTTTCTCTTCACTTTCCCAGTTCTTGCCTCCTCTGCCCTCCCTCCTCTCTCCCTGTTCCCCTCTGTCTTCATCCTTAGTTCCACTGTCCTCTGTTCGTAAGTCTCTTCCCGCATCACTTCCTCCTCCTCCACCCCCATTCTCAATCTCCTTGCCCCTCCGAAGCCTACCCTTCCTGTTCCTGTCCCCCAGTGCTTTCTCCTTCACTTCCAGTGACCATGACCGCTATCCCAGATTGGAAGCTACAGTTGCTAGCCCGGCGGAGGCAGGAGGAGGCAGCGGTTCGTGGCCGCGAGAAAGCAGAACGTGATCGCCTGTCCCAGATGCCAGCCTGGAAGAGGGGAATTCTGGAACGACGCAGAGCCAAGTTGGGCTTGCCTCCTGGAGAGGCGAGCTCTGTGCCTGGGACTGCAGAGGCTGGACCTCCAGATCCAGACGAATCCGCTGTCCTCTTGGAAGCTATTGGGCCAGTACATCAGAACCGATTCATTCAGCAGGAGCGACAGCGGCAGCAGCAGCAGCGAAATGAAGTGCTTGCTGATAGGAAGCCCGGGCCTCTGGAGGCTATAGAGCGGAGATCAAGTCCTGGTAATTTAAGAGAGCAGAGCCCCAAGGGAAGAGAGTCGAGAGAAGAGAGGCTAAGTCCCAGGGAGGCCAGAGATAGGAGGCTGGTGATAGGGGGAGCTCAAGAGTCATGTTCCAGGACTTTGGAGACTCGAGACTGCAGGCAAAGCCCTGCAGAACCCAGAGACCTAAGTTCCAGACCAGCAGAGGCTCAGAAATGGAGGCTGAGCCCTGGAGAAACTCAAGAGGAGAGTCAGAGATTAGCAAGTCCTGGAGACCATAGTCCTAAGAGAAAAGAGGTATTGGAAAGCAGACTGAGCCCGGGGGAGTCTGGTGACCAGAAGGCCTGCCTGACAGAGGCCCATAAATGGACTCTTGACCCGAAAGAACCCCAGAAACAGAGCTTGATACAGCCGGAGGCCACCGACTGGAGGCTGAAATCAAAAGAAGAGAGAAAAGTCTACTTGGAGGAGTATGGGAGAAAGGAAGAGACACCAAGTCCAGGAATTATCCTAGACCAGTCTCCAGGGACAAAGGAGAGTCAAGACACCACCACCTCTGGAGATGTGGAGACTGCTGAGCAGAGGTCCAGCCCTGTGGAGGATGGAGACAGGATCTCCAGGCCCACTGAAGGCTGGAAATGGACCCTAAACTCTGGGAAGGCTCGAGATCGGACGCCTCGGGATATAGAGACTCCTCAGAAGCCAGATCCTCCAGCATCTTCAGAGAAACACCTGGGGCTTACTGGTGTGGAGGTTGAAGGGGAGGCTGAGAAGGAGGAGGCGGGGGCTCAGAGCAGGCCTCTGAGAACCCAGCAGAACCTCTGCTCTGGGCCCTCCCTCCTACTAGAGCACGCCGGGGCCGGGGCGGACCGCTCCAGACAACAGGAAGAGGAAGCTGCAGAACTGCAGCCCCCAACACCAGCCCCTCTGTCTCCCCCACCCCCAGCCCCAGCTGCCCCCCAGCCCCCCGGGGATCCCCTCATGAGCCGACTGTTCTATGGGGTGAAGGCAGGACCGGGGGTGGGGCCCCCCCGCCGCAGCGGACACACCTTCACTGTCAACCCACGGAGGTGTGTGCCCCCTGCCAACCCAGCCCCTCCGGCCACCCCTGCCACAGCTGATGCTGCAGGACCTGGACCTGGGAAGAAGCGGTACCCAACTGCTGAGGAAATCTTGGTGCTGGGGGGCTACCTCCGCCTCAGCCGCAGCTGCCTTGTCAAGGGGTCCCCAGAAAGACACCACAAACAGGTAAGAAAGCTGCCACGCCTGACTGGAAGAAGTCTCCCTCCAGCTCTGACTGGATGACTTTTCTATATGCCTGTGCTCTAGTCTTCTATTTATTCCTGCCACCTCCCTTCCTCCTTCTGCACACACACCCTTCCTCCGGGTAGCCCTCCTTTGCCACTCATTTGGGAGCACCAAGGATTCTGCACAGAAGTCAACTGATATGTTGGGGTGTGTCTGGCCCTGTTCGTCTCCCTCCCTCATTCTCTCAGTTCCCTCTCTCTCTCTCTCTCTCTCTCTCTCTCTCTCTCTCTCTCTCTCTCTCTCTCTGTGTGTGTGTGTGTGTGTGTGTGTGTGTGTGTCCCGCTTTTGAGGTTTTGATCTTTTGATCTGGCCAGGACCTTTTGGTAGGAGAGAAGGAAAAGAGAGATAACCACTTTGCAGCCATGAAGGCAGCATGAACATACCCTGGAGGGCAGAGCAATGTGGAGGCCAGAAGTTCAGGGAGGTTGGAATGAGGGTCTCAGCCCCAAGAAAGAAGGGGCAGAACTAAAGGAGGATGTCCCAGGACAGAGAGAGGCCAGTGAGAAGGACCAAAGCTTTTAGACCCCAAGTAATCCCCCCATCTTCCCACCCCCAGGAGAGGGATACAAATGACATTTGAAGTGGATGACCTCCGGGTTGCCTATCTCCCCCCAGCTGGGCAAATGTTAGACAGTGCTTCCTTCTCTCTGGGGACAAGAAAAGCCTTCTCCTCTTCCAAAATATCCCAGTCCCTTCCCCCATCTTTTCTCCCTGGGCTTCCCCTCCCCCACAGAACTGGCTCAGCCTTGGTTTTCCCCTCTGTCCCTCCTACCCTGGCCTCTCCCTCCCCTTGGGGTAGAAAAAGAGAGAAGTTCATTTGCACTGAACTGAGCAGAGACTGGCCCAGGCACTGTGGGAGTTGGGGGCAGGGGTGGGGCTGAGGCCAGCAGAGGGTCGGAGGTTAGACTGGAATGTAGACAAGCGAGGAAACACAGGACAGGAAAACTCCCTCTGGCCGGTCCCAACACTCTCCTCCTCTGTATCAACCGGTTTCCTCGGTGAAGAATCTCTGGGGAAAGACAGTGCTGCACTCAGGTGCCTCAGACCAGAAAGAAGACCCTCGACACAGTGCAGGGCCTGGGAAGCCATCTCTTCCTTATTCTGTTTAACTGTGTGTTTGGTGTCAGTGGAAGACCATAGAGACCAAAGATCCATCGGGGTCACCTGGTTGCTCCCAGTTCATCTTGTTTTTAGAGAGTGTTCACTGTCATTATATCATTTTTGAATATGACTTTTCTTTTCTCACCTCTGTCACTGAAGCTCCAAGGGTAGTACCTAAGAGCGAATGTACCCTTTCAGGGCTTGGCAGATGTAAAGGAACTCCTCCCAGGGTGAGGCGATCAGAAAAGTCATTTCCTACTGAGGTTGGCTTGTGTCTTTGGGAAATGAACAGAGGGCTCCATAGACCTTTGTGGCCCGAGCCTAGAAACCTTCTGGGGGGGGGTAGGAGGGCAAGGAACCTAATGCAGAGGAGGCCCTGTGATGGTGACCATGCCTAGGTCATCAAGTAGGAGGGGCGGAAGCAGACCTTCCAAACAGGAAGCCTGGGGTGGGGGCGGAAGGCTGGTGGTACTGAGTGGGAACACTGGGCCTGGGGGCCTGCCAGAGCTGTGCGCAGGATGTGGTGAGAGAATCAGGAAGCAGCCACGCTGGGGTGAGGGTGGAGAGCAGGCAGCCGAGTTCCCTAGACAGATGGTCAATCTGCCTCCCTCAGCTAGGTCTGCACCCGGACCTCTCCATCCTCTGTCCTGGCCGTTACCACCATCCCTCACCCCTAAGTAGTTCCTTTTCAGACTACTTCATCAGACTTATCCCTGCCACCGAGAGAGGCACCACCTCCCCCCTGAACCAGGCTGTAGCTGGTGCTCTTCCTCATCCGGAGTGGCCTCTCTGGCTGGAGACCTGCCCCTCCTTCCCTGGTCCCCTTGTGACCTTATATAGCTGATGAGAGAGGAGCCAGTGAGTCATTTCCCTCCCTGCCCTACCCCCCCCCCCCATTCGGGTTATGCATTCCTGAGAAGCCCAGTCAGAAGCTGGGGGGAAGTGAGGCACAAGGGGGTGACACTGAAGTCGCTGAAGTCAATGGAGTGAATACAATGGATAAAATGAACTGATGATAAACTACAGGGTTGGGGAGGGGAACTTAGGAAAGAGGAGAGAACAGGTTTCTAGAAATTTGGATAAAGCTGTCAACCACAGAAGCAGTATGGGTCCCTTTTCAGATACTGGGATGCTGGCCATCAGGAGGCTGTCCCTCTGTTCTATCAGCCTTCCCACCTAGCCTTGATCATTTGCTGGGACCGCACCTGATGTCTAGACAGGTGTGGCAGTGTGGCAACTTGTACACTTCCTTTCATGGCAACCATGTATATGAGTAGCCTTCTGCACGAATGATCTCAACCAAGCACAGATCGAAAATAATATTCAGGCTCTCCAGGCTGGTGGCTCAGACTTGTAATTCCATCTATGGATGTTAAGCTCAAGGCCAGCCTGGGCTATTTAGTGAGCTCCAGTGTCATAAATAATAATAATAATAATAATAATAAAGGACTGGAGAGATGATACAGCACTTGCTGCTCTTTTAGGGGGTGCTGGGGGGTGGGGCCTGGATTCAGTTCCCAGCACTTGCATGGTGGCTTTTAGCCCTCCACTGAAGTTTGCCAGGGGATCTGATCCCTCTTCTGACCTTCTGTGGTACTGAATGAACATGGTGCACAGACATGCAGGCAAAACGCTAAACACATAAAATGGGGGGGGGGGAGTTTCTTAAATAAATAAAGTTGAAGGTACATTGGGAGGGTCTGTGTAAGTCGTATGTAGTACTATGCTTTTTTATATGTAAGGGACTTGAGCACTTGGGCATTTTGTGTGATGAGGTCTTACTACAAACTCCCCCAAGATATTAACAAGTTCTCTAGTGAGTTAGAAGGTGGTGAGCGCTTATGGAAATATTAGTACAAGGGTGTGTGTAATAGGGTCAGGACACAGAGTAGGATGGAAATGTGGTAACTTCCAAACAGGATGCCCTGGAGTAGAGGAGCCTTGGGGACATTTGGGGGAAGAGTATCCCAGGCAGAGGGAATGGCCTGGAGGCAGCTGTGCACCTGGGAGCAGAAGGAAATCACCTGTTGCCTTCAGTTAGGCTCTGGATTTTGTTCAAAGTGAGATGAAACAAGAAGTCATTTCAGGGTTTGAACCCAAGGAATAACAGATGCATACAGTCTTGGTCACCCTACTTTCCTTAGGTACCAAGGTGTCTCGTCTTTCCACACTATAGATCACATGGAGGCCCTGGGATGCTGGGCCACAGATGCTCTGGGCAGAGCACCTGGAATCCCTTCTTGTTTGTCTCCCTAAACCCTCTGGCTGGCAGAGTTAATCCCACTGTGTCCTTAGGAGGGCAGAAGGGCGCTGAAGATAGCCTATTTTTCAGGGTTTCTGCCCCTCTCTGGACTTTTGCCTCTGTTGTTTTTGTGGGTACCCTCTGTCCTCCTCTCCACTCCTATCCAGTGTTTGCCTAGACTTCCCCAATCTTGTCAGATCTCCAGTTGCATATTCCCATTCCTGGGACTCTTCTGTGTGTTGACTCTTATAAGCCTTTCCATTGTCTTATCCATTCCCCAGGCTGAACCTGGGGATCGGTTAGGAGAAAAGGGAGGGTTGAGAAGGAGGCAGGCTCTCTGGAGCCTGGGTTTCCCAGGAGCCATCAAAGCCCTGACTGAGGCTATGGAAGGCAGGGCACCTTCTAGGACTCCCTTCCCAATCAGCTTTTTCCTGCTTGCCAGCTTGCCAGAAACTTCACTTCCTTTGGAATGTCCCAGAGGGTGCCCCAGAGTCCAGGTTGTGGCCACAGCACTGCCTCTATGCACTTCAGTTTCTTTTTATGCCTCTGCCAGATTCCCAGCCCTTGCCACAGGCAAAATCTTTTGTTTTTTTGGGGCTCACTTTTAAAGACAGGGTCTAACACTGTAGATCAGGCTGGCCACAGACTGATCTCCTAAGTGCTGAGATTAAAGGAGTGTCCCACCATACTCAGCTGACTTTGGTTTTTTGAGACAGGGTTTCTCTGTATAACAATCCTGGCTGTCTTGAAACTCCCTTTGTAGACCAGGCTGGCCTCAAAAGTCCCAAAGATCCACCTGCCTTTGCTTCCTGAGTGCTGGGATTAAAGGTGTGAGCCACCACCACCCACTTTTTTTTTTTTTTTTTTTTTTAATTTAGACAGTTTTAATAAGACTTGGAAGGCTGGCCAGGAATTTAGTGTAATTCTCCTGCCTCAACCCCCTGAGTGCTGGAATTACTGGTGTAAGGCACTACACTTGGCTGTTTGGGGTTTTTGTTGTTGTTTCTATAATTGGTTTTTTGTTTTGTTTTACATTAATTTTTGGTGTGGGGACACACCTGACACAGCACTGTGGAGGTCAGAGGCTCCCAAGATTAAACTCAGGGCATCAGGCCTGACTGCAAGTACCCTTAGTACCCTTAACCACTGAGCGATCCCAGTGGCCAACATCTGGTTTGGGTTTGTTTGTTTAGGTTTATTTTTGCTAAGCAATGGTACATGGACCTTTAATTCCAGCATTCGGGAGGCAGAGGCAGGCAGATCTCTGAATTTGAGGCCAGCCTGGTCTATAGATCACGTTCCATGACTGCCAGAACTACACAGACTAACCTTGTCTCGAAATCCGAAACACAAAAAGATTTATTTTTATTTCATGTGTACGAGTGTTTTCCCTGCCTGTGTGTGCACTACAGGCATGCCTGGGGTCTGCAGAGGGCATCAGGTTGTGTTTTCTCTGGAACTACAGTTACAGATGGTTGTCAGGGGCCTGGTGGGTGATAGGAACTGAATCTAGGTCTTCTGCAAAAGCAGCAAGTACTCTTAACCACTTCACTGAGCCATCCCTCCAGCCCCTAAGTGTTGTTTTGTTTGATGTCATTCGAAGGGAAACAAAAATTAAGCTGTAAACGAAAGCCGAGGCCTCAACTGGATGGAAGTGGGAGAGGTCTTTGGATGCCTTAGTAATGAACTTTCCTCCTCTCCCCACTCTTCCCACTTTCAAAGCTCAAGATCTCCTTCAGTGAGACAGCCCTGGAGACGACCTACCAATACCCTTCGGAGAGCTCTGTGCTGGAGGATCTGGGCCCAGAGCCTGAGGCCCCCAGTGCTCCCATCTCCTCGGCGACCCAGCCTGACGATGACGACGAGGAGGAAGAGGAGGAGTTGCTACTGCAGCCAGGGCTCCAGGGCGGGCTGCGCACTAAGGCCCTAATCGTGGGTAAGCGGCTGGCGGAGGGCGCCCCCTCGTGTCCGTGGCGTGGTGTTTTGAAAGGGCTTGGCAGATGCAGCAAGTGCCCTCAAGAGTCTCCAGATTTCAAAGCCAGAGTTTGCTCGTTATCCAGATCTCCAGTCTGGTTAAAAATAACCCGAGTTGGGTCAGACGGCCCTTGTTATGAATTCCAGCTTGACTGTTACTTATGGTGTGATCCTGGATCCGTGTGTGCTCTGTTACAGTTTATCGTCTGTGGGGTGTGCATGCCCACAAGCTAGGAATTGAGTCAAGGGCCGTTAGCATGCTAGGCAAGTGCTATACCACTATGCCACTGATCAGTATCCCTAGCCTTCATTTTATCGTTTTGTTTTGAATCAGGTTTTCTCTGTATTGCTTTGGAGCCTGTCCCGGAACTGGCTCTGTAGACCAGGCTGACCTTGAACTCACAGAGATTCACCTGCCTCTTGTCTCCCAAGTGCTGGGATTAAAAGCCTTTGCCACCAACGCTCAGCACTTTTTACCATTCTTAAAAATAGAATTACTTTGGGGTATGTAGCTCAGTGTTAAGATCACTGCCTACCACTCAAGCTGAGATAGAAGTACACGGGCAGCCTGGTCTACACAGTGAGTTCCAGGGCAGCTTGGGCTATACTGATTGAGACCCTGTCAGAAAACAGGGAACAGACAAGGTTGTGTGTCCTGCTTTAATCCTAGCACCATGAAAATTGGGTAATAATCACAACTCCTGCAGCTGTTGGAAGAATTGAGACTCTTGTGAAGCACCTAGGACTATAGCTAGATATTAAATTACTTTGACTTTGATGAAATGATTGTGAAATTAAACAAGGTGCCTAGTGCACAATCCCAGCTAACTATGGTGACCACTGTTGGTGGTGACTGACACACACCCAACACATTGTAAAGACTTCTCTTACACCAGGCACTCTTCAGTTCTGGGACATATGGGGAGGCTGGTGGCAGAGGCCACCCACTTCTCTGTCTTGATCACTTCTTTTCCTGCAGATGAGTCCTGCCGGCGGTGACCATCTTCCAATTTGGGCACATACCTCCTTCCCATACCTGAAGATCCTGAAGTCTGGAAGATTCAGAGCCGACAGACCCTGGCAATGAGCCTGGCAGGGAAGGGCAATGAGCATATTCCGACTTGCTTTTCCCATCCTGTTTCTGGGGCAGAGCCAGTAGCCTAAATTTACCCCTAACCCAAGGTCCCCCGTGGGTGTAGCAGTCTCGTGGGCTGGAGCATCCTTGGTGAGCTAAGAACGAGCATCAAGCCCTTGAGTGGAACACAGGATTCACCTGGGATTGAGTTACATGGAGCCCCTCCAGCTCTGTGACAGGGTACACTGTCCCCACAGCCTTCTTTGACTTCCCACCGCTCCCAGGGACACTCAGGATTTAAGGGCTCACCTACCTTGGGAGATCTAGACCCCACTCCATCCACAATCACTCTTGTCCTAGGTCACTGCCCCTTTGTTTACAGCTTCCTTCTTGCTTGGTCACAGCCTGGTTTACATACCCACCAGCTCCCAGTCCCACCTGTCAAAGTCCCAGGTTTACAAGCTATGACTACCCACAGACTTCTGGAGGAATCTGCCACCTTCCCTTCCATTTGTTTTATTGAGAGTGACCTGGGGTGGTTATGTGACTTTCTTCAACTTTGCTCAGTATTACTGTGCCTCAGTTTCTCCCAAGAGGGAAGGCTGGGGATCCTCACTCTGAATCCCATGAGAATTATTTAATTCTGTTCCTCCACGTGGTTCACATTGAATTGAATTGCAGTGTGGGGGGACTGAAGGAGGTGCCTCAACTCTCCCCTATTAATCCTTTCTCATTTGCCTGGTTTGTTTCATTTTGTACCTTTCTGTAATAAAAAGGAGCTCTTTTCAACACTCTTGCTGCCTCTTTCTTTTAACATTTCCTCCATTTTTATTTGGTGTGGATGGGTGTTTTGCCTGCACCATCCTTCTTGCCTGGGGTCTGTGGAGGCCAGAATGCCTCAGACCTCCCAGAACCTTCTGGGGTCTGGGAATCAAATATGTTCTCTAGACGAGTAACCAGTGTGCTCAACCATTGAGCCATCTCTCCAGCCCCTTCTCTTTCTCTTTTTAAATTAATTATAATTATGTTTTGTGTTCTTCCAGCTCACACAGCCCCCCCCCCTTTTTTTTTTTTTTTTTTTTTTTTTTTTTTTTTTGAGAGTAGATCCTGGATAGATTGGAATTCAGTATGTAGAACTGACTGGCCTGGAACTCATAGAGATCTTTCTGCCTCTGCTTCCTGAGTGCTGAAATTAAAAGTTTACACCACAATACCCTACTTTTTTTTTTTTTTAAGTCTTTAAAAAGACAGATGAGGCTGAAGAGATAGCTCAGCAATTAGGAGAACTTGTTCTTGCTGGGGTCCAGATTCAGCTCCCAGCACCCATATATAGTGGCTCTTGACCATCTATAAATCCAGTTCCAGGGAATCAGACATTTTCCTATCCTCCCTATGCGCCAGGCACACATACGGTACACAGACATACATGTGATCAAAACATTCACAAAATCATATGTGTGTATGTGTGTCCCATTGTGGTTGATTCACACATTTAATTCCATCCCCAGGGCAGCAGAGACGTGCAGATCCCTGAGTTTAAGGCCAGCCTAGTCGCTAGAATGAGTTCCAGGGCAGCCAGAGCTACACAGAGAGATCCTGTCTCAAAAAACAGCCATTAAGAGCACTCTATGCTCTTGCAGAGAACTTGGTTTCAACTCCCAGCATGATGGCGCTCCTGTAACTACAGTTTTAGGATATCCAACGCCCTCTTCAGGCTTCTGAGTGCTATACATACTGGAAAGTAAAACGTTCATATATACATAAACAAAAAAGCAGAAAGAAGGGCTGGAGAGACGGTTCAGTGGTTAAGAGCACTTGCTGCTCCTACAGACAACCTGGTTTGGATCCCAGAATCCACAGCATGCAGCTCACAACCGGCTATAACTCCAGTTGCAGAGAGGCACCACATCCCTGATCTAGAAGGGCTCTAGCACACACATGGTGCAGATATGCAGGCAAGCACACATGCATATACATTTTTTTTTTAAAAAAAAATCTTAAGATACTGGAACTCCCACATAATTTACATATTGTTAGTTAAGTAGCTTTAAATTATTTTTTTAAAATATTTTTAATTATGTGCTTGTGTGTGACTATGTGAGAGTGCAGGTTGTCAGTAGAAGCCAGAGGTGTTGGATCCCCCTGGAGCTGGAGTTACAAGTCGTTGGTTTTGAGGGATGTGGGTGCCAGGAGTAGAACTCGAGTTCCCCAAACCTGATTTCTATTCCTTTTATCCCACGCTATGGAAACACTTTCTAGTACTTAGGGCCTGGAGAACTTGCTTGTGTTGACTGAGCGCAGCATCGGGGCACGGACCATCACCGGGGGCGACAGAGAGCTTTCGCTGTGAGAGTCCGGAGTCTGCGCGATTTGAACCCTCCCAGCCACCGTTAAGTTCTGACCGGAAGAGCTAACCTCTTTCCGGGTTTCACGGGTCTGGAAGCCAATTTAGGGCTACTCAATCCGTCAGTCTGGAATAGCAGTCTCTACGGCAGCCCGTGCGGGGCCGAGGCGCTGCGCACCCCTCCTGGCCCCGCCGCCGTCCTGGCCGGTTCGGTTGCTGTGCGCCGGAAGCGGGACGCGTCGCCATGGCGACGCCGGCGGGGCTAGAGCGATGGGTGCAGGAGGAGCTGCACTCAGTGCTGGGGCTGAGCGAGCGGCACGTCGCGCAGTTCCTGATCGGCACGGCGCAGCGCTGCGCCTCGGCCGAGGAGTTCGTGCAACGTCTGCGCGACACCGAAACTCTGGACCTTGGCGGGCCGGCGCGGGACTTCGCGCTGAGGCTCTGGAGCAAGGTGTGTGCCGCCGGGCGCCATCCACTAGCAGCTACATTAGACCGCTTCACGTACGCACGTCTTTTGTTTAGAAATGGAGTGTAAGCTAGCTGTCTATTGTAGGATAGCTTGGAACTTTCGATGTAGTACACGGGCTGGCTTCGAACTTGCTGAGAGAGAGCCTCCCATAACAGAGAGATCTACCACTCCTGGTTCTGCCAAACATCTATCTTTTGGCCTCTGTTACCTAGGTGCTGGGCGTACAGCGTTGTGGAGGAGACTTAGTTAGGAGAGAGGGATCTGCAAACATGCTTAAACCCAGAGCCCTGTTAATTACAGTACATACAGTACAGCCCCTCCAGGGCTGAGGATGTATCTCAATTGGTAGAGTGCTTGTCTAGCATACAGTAAGCCTTGGGTTCAATCCCAAGTACTAGGGGAAAGTCGCTGGGAAGGGTACGTTTGTGGGGATTAGCAATTAAGCAATTGGTGGAGACAGGAAGAGATGGCTCAGTGGTTGCTCTTTGAGAGGGCTTAAGTTTCCAGCAACCAAGTCTAGTGGCACACAACGACCTGTGATATTACAGCTCCAAGGGGATCTGATGTCTTCTGGCATTCGCCAGGTACTCATACCCATACACATAAGTACATACAAAATAAATCTTAGAAAGAAAATGGGTTGTACAATGTAAACTCCTTGAACTCTGGGCCATTTTTTAAAAATGCTATTGTGGGACTGGAGAGATGGCTCAGAGATTAAGATCACTGGCTACTCTTCCAGAAGTCTCTGATTCAATTCCAAGCACCCTACAACTGTCTGTAACCCCAATACCAGGGGATCCAACACCCTCACATAGACTCAATGCAGGCAAAACACATGCACATAAAAATAAATCATTAAAAAAACAAAACAAAACATTGTGTTTGTATGTCCATGTGTGAATGTCAGAGGACAACCTGTGGGTGCTGGGTCTTGCTCTCCACCGTAGGGTGCTTTTCAATAATCATTTGCTAACTGGATCCCTGGAAGGAAGCTGAGGGCCTGGTTGAGCTGACAACATGGGACAGTGAATGATAAAGACTGGTTTGAACTGGAAACTGAGGGCAGGAGCTGTTCACACTTGCTTGTTTTCTGCCGACAGGTCCCACGGAAGGCTGTGGTAGAAAAGCCAGCTCGGGCAGCTGAGCGTGAGGCCCGAGCCCTGCTGGAGAAGAACCGATCTTACAAATTGCTGGAAGACAGCGAGAGTGGTGAGGAGGCTGTGGGCAGAGATGCGAGCAGCCTCCAGAAGAAGCGGAAAAGACGGAAACACCTCAGGAAGAAGCACCACGAGGAGGAGGAAGAGGAGGCAGAAGAGGTCTCTGAAGCAGGGAAGGGGAAGACAGGGTAAGTCAGAAGTGAGGAGAGAGGGAAGTGGTTGGCTCTAGGGATGATAAGCTTTCTGGGCACCCCTCTTTGATCTACTGGGCTGGGTTCAGGGACAGTAAATCACCCACGGAGGAGAAGCCAGCCTCAGAGGATGAGTGGGAGCGGACAGAGCGAGAGCGTCTTCAGGACTTGGAGGAACGGGATGCCTTTGCAGAGCGGGTTCGACAGCGGGACAAGGACAGGACCCGCAATGTCCTGGAACGATCAGATAAGAAGGTAAAGAACATTGGGTAAATCTGGATTTGGTTGCAGAGATGTCTCTGGGAAGACAAGGGTTGTCTGTCACTAGGGTTCCTGTGTGGGGAAACAGGGTTCTCTGGGCTTTCTGGCTAAGGGTCTCACTGTCTGGTTGAAATCACAGAGATTCTCTGGGCGTTGGTGGCACATGCCTTTAGTCCCAGCACTCAGGAGGCAAAGGCAGGTGGATCTCTGTGAGTTCAACACCAGCCTGGTCTACAAAGCTAGTTACAGGATAGACTCCAAAGCAATACAGAGAAACTGTCTCGAAAAACCAAAAGAAAAAAGAAAAAAAGAAAAGAAATCACAGAGATTCTTCACTGAGAAGGGACAGTGAAGAACATTGGTCATTTTGGGGGGAATAGTTGTAGATGTGCATATCTTTGACCTCATGACCCTCTTACGTGATTTCTCCTTCTAGGCTTATGAAGAGGCTCAAAAACGCCTCAAGATGGCTGAGGAAGACCGGAAAGCCATGGTGAGACCCTGGGTTCAAGAAGCAAGATCCAGGGTTGGAGAGATGGCTCAGAGCTTAAGAGCACCGGCTGCTCTTCCTGGGGTCCTGAGTTAAATTTCCAGCAACCACATGGTGGCTCATAATCACCTCTAATTAGATCGGGTGCCCTCTTCTGGTATATAGACATACATGGCAGCAAAACACTGTGTGACTAATAACTAAATACATTAAAAAAAAGCAAAACCCGAAGACAAAAGGAAAACTGATGGAGTGGTTGGTGAAATGTGGGTGGGTGATCAGTCTCTAGTGGAAGGGGTCTGGCTGATAGGAACCAGGAGGGAAGTCACAAACCCTCCCAGTGTGAGTAAAACTTGGTTTCTCCTGTTTCTGAGACTTGATGAAGCAGCTAGTACCAAAAGGCCTCCCTGCTGCCTCTTGCTAGCTTTACCACATTCCTTATGTAGAGAGCTGTGTTGTTGCTCTGGTAGATCGAGGATTTGCCTGTCCCTCCTCACCCAGGTCCCCGAGCTTCGCAAGAAGTCTCGTCGAGAGTACCTGGCCAAGCGGGAGCGGGAAAAGCTGGAGGACCTGGAGGCAGAGCTGGCTGATGAGGAGGTCCTGTTTGGGGATGTAGAACTGAGCCGCCATGAGCGCAGGGAACTCAAGTACAAGCGACGAGTGAGGGACCTGGCCCGGGAGTACAGGGCTGCTGGCGAGCAGGAGAAACTGGAGGCCACTAATCGATACCATATGCCCAAGGAGACTCGAGGACAGGTGAGGGGGGCCCTGCCTACTCATGGGTGAGGCAGCGCAGCGGCTGGGGAGGAGGAAGTGGGCAGCTGGGGCCACCCTTCTTCAGGGCCTTGAGTGTGTCTCTCTCCGTAGCCAGCTCGA